CTCCAGGAGAACACCGATATCCTAACCGATTTTGGGGATCCCCAGGGATCATAGCTGTCTTGTGGAGACAGGGAAGAAAGAAGACACTGGCTGGCATGGATAGGGAATGAGCAAGTTCCCTGAAGTGCTGGCTTTAGTCTTTGACCCTTCGGTGAAGGAAGGCAGCCAGACACCAACTATTCAGTGATGGGTTTCAAAAATTTTTACTACTGATTCTGTGGGTGTGACTTGGTGGGCGTGGTGTGGCTTGGTGGGCGTGGCAGGGGAAGGATACTGTAAAATCTCCATTCCCACCCCATTCCAGGGGTAGGTTACTGCAAAATCCCCATTTCCTCCCGATCAGCTGGGACTCGGGAGGCAGAGAATAGATGTGGGCGGGGCCAGTCAGAATTTTTACTACCGGTTCTCCGAACTACTCAAAATTTCCGCTACCAGTTCTCCAGAACTGGTCAGAACCTGCTGAAACCCACCTCTGCAACTATTCCCAAAAACACACCTCATTCCTGTGTGATTTTCTGAAGCTGTGGAGGCCATGCGAGAATGGTGTGCGTTCTCACATGGCCTCCAGACCCTCTGAAATTTGGGAGGGAGGCCCATGCTTTCAAGTGTCAAGCTTTTCAAGCTTTGCTGGCTGAGGAACTCTGGGAGTTAAAGTCCACAAGTCTTAAAGTTGCTAAGGTTGGAGACACCTGCTCTAGAGCAGTGGTCCCCAACCTTTCTGGCTTGGCAGCCCAGTGGTGAGAGGGGAAAGATGGGATGGTTCTGTGTGAGTAGCAGGCGTGTACACTTGCACAAGCAACCACCGCTTGAATAAATGGAGCTTTTGCATGTGTGCTCGTCCGCCACTCGCACGGCCTAGTTCAGAATGGGCTACGGCCTGGAAGTAGGCCACAGCCTGGAGGTTGAAAACCTCTGGTCAAGAGTAGACTAGGGACCTTAGGGAACTGTCCTAATAGATCAAACTGTTAAAACTGTGGTAGAAAAATCATACTTTTCCTACTTGTAGGATTCTGTTAACGTAGCCTGACAATAAAGTAGAATTAGTTCATCTAGTCCAGAGATGGTATTCAGCCGGTTCGAACTGGTTCAGGCGAACCGGTAGTGGTAACCTGCAGGTGGGCCCAACGCGCCCACCCACCCGGGCGCAATCCCGTCCTATGTTGCTGTGTTTTTGATGCTGCACGCCTGTGCGGACAGCATGCGTGAATTGCTGTGTTGTTTGACATCGCACACATGTGCGGATGGCACGCGCAAGTGAATTGCTGTGTTTTGTGATGCCGCACGCGCTCACATTTTCGGTGCTGGGCGAACCGGTTGCTACAGTACGTGAAGCCCATTTCTGATCTGTCTGGTATATAGGTAGCCCTGTGACTTACAACCACAACCGAGTCCGAAATTTTTGTCGCTAAGCAAGATGGTCGTTAAGTGAGTTTTGCCTCATTTTCCAGCCTTTCTTGCCTCGGTTATTAAGTGAATCACTTACAGTTGTAAATTAATAACACAGTTGTTAAGTGAATCCGGCTTTCCCATTGACTTTGCTTGCCGGAAGGTCGCAAAAAGGGAATCGCGTGACCCGGAGTCACTGCAATCAGCATAAATCCATGCCAGGTGCCAAGCGGCCGAATTTTTGATCATGTGACCATGGCGATACTTCAATGGTCATTAAGTGTGAAAATGGTCGTAAGTCATTTTTTCAATGCTGTACGAATGCTCACTACACAAGTTGAGGACCAGATGTACTGGGGGAGGAGGGGGGCTGACGTATGTGCCCTGTAGCTCTGACTCTTTCCTAGGTAGAATTAGAATAACAGAATTGGAAGGGACCTTGGAGGTCTTCTAGTCCAACCCCCTGCTTAGGCAGGAAATCCTACACTACTTCGGACAAATGGTTATCCAATCTCTTCTTAAAAACTTCCGGTGTTGGAGCATTCACAACTTTTGGAGGCAAGTTGTTCCACTGATTAATTGTTCTAACTGTCAGGAAATTTCTCCTTAGTTCTAGGTTGCTTCTCTCCTTGATTAGTTTCCATCCATTGCTTCTTCTCCTACCTTCAGGTGCTTTGGAGAATAGCTTGACTCCCTCTTCTTTGTGGCAACCCCTGAGATATAGGAGCACTGCTATCATGTCTTCCCTAGTCCTTCTCCTCATTAAACTAGACATAGCCAGTTCCTGCAACTGTTCTTCATACGTTTTAGCCTCCAGTCCCCTAGTCATCTTTGTTGCTCTTCTCTGCACTCTTTCTAGAGTCTCAGCGTCTTTTTTACATCGTGGCAACCAAAACCGAATGCAGTTATTCTTGTGAGCCATAGAACTGACTCAGAGGCCACATGAGCAGAATTGTGGTTGAATGGGAGCTTTGCACTGTGGCCACAGCAATGAATGACACAATAGCACAGAAAAAGAACTGGAAATCGAAACAGGCAACAAATAGGTTTTCTGTTATGAGCTCTGCTTCCTGCAGTTTGCCTAGGCCCGAAGTTAGGGTGAGAGAGGTGAAATTGTGTTGCTATCTAAACCCAGCAATCTCTCTCACCTATTAGAGGTTCTAATGCTGTGTTGTAATCATCTGCATAACCTCTTATGTTTTCATAATCTGTGGTTAGCTAACAGGAATACATCTAGTTTTGTAAATGTATCAGAAGCTGTTGTGATTCATCCCACCCTCAAAGAAAGCTGTGTCAAAAACCAAAGTGCATCTCAGTTAGTGAACGGATGTATGCCAATTTGGGGCTGCACAAAATCAGAAAATTGCCACCCTCCAGGGCTTGTAAAGTACTGTAAAATACTGAGAAAATATTGCACAATTGCTGGTTCCCCCCCCCACACCCCTTCTATTGTCCAGCCTTCCGAAATGAGATCTCTGTGAACTTGCATATAAATAATATGCATGCCCTGAAATCTTAAATATACTGTTTAGAGAAATAACCAATACACAGAAAACCCCAAATAATGCTGCAATGTGAAATAACAAAACACAGCCCTCTCCAAAGAACAAGAAAATGTAAAGAAAAAGTTAACAAGTACTTAGTGTTAACAAAGAATTATTAGATGAATTCCACTGTTGTACGACCTGAAGGACCAAGTTAGGGACAGATTATCGTAGAGATAATTTATTTGTATGATAGCTAGGAGTCGAAAACTAATTGATGGCACATAATCAATTAGCAGAATTGTTAATACTTAATTATCAACACTCTGGTTATGTTCATGAGCATAGATGAATGCAAATCTCCAACAGCGTACAATACATTAGAAAATAGCTGCTGTTAGCTTGAGAAAGTGTTTCTCTTTCAGAAAATGTTTGTTTCTGAAGTTTGAGATATACTATTAAATCAGAACTGCAAAACTGTGTCTATGGTTCCTTTACTATACCATTATACCTACCTATTGCTGTATCTGCTGCCACCTAGTGGGTAAACTATTTCTTTTTCTTCTCCCAAAGGTGCTTTTTCAAAGGGCTACTGGACTTCGTTTTTCCTTGAAGACATTTCTCTTCTGATCAAGAAGCTTCTTCAGTTCTGACCTGAAGTCAGAACTGAAGATGCTTCTTGGATGAGAAGCAAAACATCTTCAAGGAAAAACAAAGTCCAGTTGCCTTTTAAAAAAGCACGTTTGGGACAACCATGACCTGGATGACTGAGAATCTCCATAGACATTCTTTTTCTTCTGTTCAATCGTGTCTGATACTTGGACATCGCCTGGACAAGTCCCTGCAGTTCTCTTGGCAAGTATATATATATATTTAAACGTGACTTGGGATGAGTGACTGACTCAAAGTCACCAACCCTGTGTTCTTGCCTAAGGTTGGACTAAAACTCACAGTCTCCTAGTTTTCTTTAAACAAATTGAGAATATTGAATAGAGGGCTCTCAATCCTTGTTTGCTGTTCCGTAAAGGTAAAAGTATCCCTCACACATATGTGCTAGTTGTTCTCGACTCTAGGGGGTGGTGCTCATCTCTGTTTCAAAGCCGAAGAGCCAGCGCTGTCCAAAGACGTCTCCGTGGTCATGGGGCCAGCATGACTAAACACCAAAGGCGCACGGAACACTGTTACCTTCCCACCAAAGGTGGTCCCTATTTTTCTACTTGCTTTTTTTACCTGCTTTCGAACTGCTAGGTTGGCAGAAGCTGGGACAAGTAACAGGAGCTCACCCCGTTACACAGCACTAGGGATTCGAACTGCTGAACTGCCAACCTTTTGATCGACAAGCTCAGCATCTTAGCTATTGAGCCACCACCTCCCTTGTTTTCTATTCCCTAAAAATCTATTCCCTAGATTTTCTATATTGACTGATTTTTTTAAAAAAAATATTTTAATAAGAGGTAAACAAATTGGAAGCTAACATGTTTCAAAGCAAATATAATTTACTGTTTTGCAAGAATAATCCTGGGTCCCCTTAAAAGCACCACTAAGACAGTAGAAATATCAGGAGGGTGGAGGAGGGGGAGTTAATTTCCAGGTAAAATACTGTGTTTCAGTGGATATGCCCTCCATGAGGGAAAAAGGCCATTTTTGTAAATAGAGAAAAAAATCCATTTTGACACCTTGGTGAGGACACCCCTGCTAACACATGTATGTATGTATGTATGTATGTACGTATGTATGTATGTATGTATGTATTTAATATTTATGTCACCTATTTCTCCTATAAGGTAACTCTGGAAAGCTTACAAATTACACAAGTAGAAAAATAATTAAAATATTAAAACATTAAAACTACACGGATTAAGATTTTAAAACTATACTGAAACCAGAACTAAGAGACAGATGGTGAAGTCTTCTTAATCCATCAGGCACCTCCAGCACTGAGCACCTGTCTTGGGAGCCCTTTTTTACGTATATCCTTTTGGGTATAATGTGGGCCTTTCAACCATCCTATGAGCTAGTACATTTTCCAAACCTAGCCCACTACGATTTAAACAAACCATAAGTGAGCAAATTAAAGTTTAGCACAATGTGTCAACACTGTAAAATGAGTAACACGTTGGAAAATAAAAATGAGGTTCAAGATTCCTGTATTTCAACACCAATAGTAACCCAATAAAGTAACATTATTATTTATTTTCAGAAGTCACTAAAAAAAAAAAAACTGCAGTGAAACTTTTTTTTTTTTTAAAAGAGATGCTCATTCAGACAATTGGAGTAAAGCACATTTGGAAAGGTACACAGTCTACGTCCTATTATTGCACTTATCTTTTTACAACAAGGCATTTAAAAATAATCTGAACACAAAGGACATATTTATAAAAACGACAGTGTTAATATACAACATCGTACTGGAAATAATGTGTCGCAGTTTAAAAAAAAAAATCCCACGCAGAATTGTGGCCTGTTTCATACAAAAGGGTAAGAGGCAGTGGTGTTGGCAGGAGAAGTAAAAAGAAGTCAAGATGGCAGCTGTAGCCCCACAAAGCCCCGCCCCCTTTTTTCATGCATTTTGATTGCTCGGTTGTGGAGGCCATTTTGACTCTTTTGACACACACCGCCACACTCCCTGGTTAAGAGGGAGTAGCAAACCCATGTTTGACTGTGGCTGACTGTCAGGTCCCATAAATGTTCCAAAGGTAGAAATTAACCTGCTAAGCGTCTAAGTTTGCTTTGTATAATCCATGTTTACAGTCTCCTCAATTGTGGCTTGGTTCTGAGTTCTCCCAACTTTCCATTGTGTTCCTGTACAATTTGCTTTTTCAATTAATTCCTACAAGGTGCCACTTTCTATGACATGATAAATATATATTCCACCCAGCGTCTGCGATATGCTAATTTCAGATCCCACTAATCCAAAATTATTATTATCAAGATGACAGCTCATCAGTAACAGGGACTGATAATTGATGTCTAGAGCAAGGTAAAAAAAACCAACAGCATTAAAAATAAAATTAATCATAACTTTTAAACGATATTCATTTTTTCACATAATTAACTTTTGTGTCTGGCAAACAGATGGACTTACACAGTCTGAATACACTCAGAATACCCTTGTCATGATTCCAAATTAATATTTATAAAATTACAATACATTAAGTTCACTTTTCATGTATACATCAAGTGACTGATGGCGAATTCGTACACGAAGCGTCTTAATTTAAAGCTGTCTTTAGCCTAACAATTTGGGAAAAAAACACAAGCATGCCCACAGTTCAATGGTAGACAACGTATCAGCCAGTGCTCAAATTTTAGCTGCCAGAGTGCTCTAACTTAAAATTATATCAGCACTACAAAGTACCAGAGTACCTTTGGCCATATTAGGCTACAGAATTTTGGGATTTGTAGTTCCTATGCTTCTGCGTGGCACTAGCGTGAGATAACTCACTCTTCTGACAGGAAAAAGAAAATGGAAATAGCAAGCTGAGGAAGATTTACAGACAGTGATTCTGAATTTAAATGTAGCATTTCTGTATAAAGATAGATAGTCCTTGACTTACAACCGGTTGCTTAGCAACTGTTTGAAGTTCTGATGGACTACCTGGGGGGAGTACTTATGATCTGAATGCAAAGCTTTGATGGTCAGCACCCCCCCCCGGTCATATGACTTTTCAAGAACTCCACCACTGGGCCACATTTATGGCCATTTGTGACCATTTATGACCATCCTGAGGTCACGTGATTTGTGTTTTCTGATGGTTATTTTCTAAAAACCAGTGTTTACTTCTGTTTTTCGGCAAAACCGACCCATAGGAAGCCTTGGGTTCATTTAATGACCACACTGGTCACTTTACGACCATGGCATTTGGTCATGTGACCAATTCACTTTAGGACCACTGGGGAAGGAGGCGGAAGTATTTTATGGAAACTGGTCTTTTATGCAAACATTAATATGGGAGCGGAAATGGATGTTTAAGCTCCCTTCAGCCTCAGATTACAAACTGCTCCAATCCTCTGAGAGGAAAAGAACTGAATACAGAGATTCTGAAAAAAAACAAACTTCGCCTTTGCAGAAAACTCCTCTCAACCATTGATTGGTTGCAGAGCCCCAAGCTCCACCCTCTGCTGCCTGCCTAACCAATAGGGAAGGGACTGATCGTATAATGAGGCCTGGCCTTGCCAACCTCATTATAGTGATTTGTGGCCTACTAAGTCCTTTCCTGCAGAAAGTGAATAGGGCTGCGGAATACAATGGTGCTAATTGGTTGAAATGGTGATTTTTTTTTGATAGAGCTAGCATGTTGGTGAGCTGTCTAAGGTGCTGGAAAATATACGACTTGAGTTAGGGGCTAACTAGATTAAATACTGTATGTCATACCAACAGGATTGCAATCCATTTGCAATACATCTCCATTAAATGCATTTTTTTTTTCCTGAAAGCATTTCTTGTAAATGCCCATATGGATTGGGATCATCTGTAGGGGGTTCCCCAAAAGCCATGACAGAGACTGTGCTCGTGCAAAGCCCCGCCTCTTTTTAGGTACATCCTGATGCACATAAAAATGAGGTTTTGCTTGAATCCCATTGGTTGCAGCTGCCATTTTTTACTGTTTTCAGCCTCATCCTGTGAATATGTGGCTTCAAACAAATACACAAAATAAATCCACTCACCACAAGGGCGATATGGCTCGGTGTAGACGGGTCTGTCATAAATATAAATCTCATTTGGTGTTCAAAATCCGGAATTGAGGGTTTGATACTGACGTAGGAATTTAAGGCAACAGGAACAAGATATATATTTAATTAATTTCCAGTATTTATCATTTCCTTAAAAACTAATTCTCCCCCCCACAATTTATTTAAGGATTATCATACCGCTTTGTGCTGATACCTGCCTCTTCCCAACCACCTCCTCCCCACCCCCACAATCATCCTGGTTTATTTAAAAACAAGACAAAATAAAACCAGGCCAACCGCCTTTACATTTAGCTCTCTGCCTAAAATAATTTCTCCACTAAAATGATTTGTCAGGCATGTGCTTTGACTATGTGAGAAGTATTCAGAAGTAGTGCATGTGATACTGTGATGAAGTGTGTACATAAAAGTAATTTTTGTTCATTTTGAGATGGTGAACTAACACACACATTTTCCACAATCTAGAGGGAACACGTACAATCACACAGGATCTTTAACCGTCTATTTAAGAAACTGCTACCACAGAGGCACAAAAAACTGCTAAAACCAACATTTTAGAATAGAATTGGAAGTTATGGCCATGTAGAATTGAAATCCAGAAAACCCACATTTTCAGGCCAGGATTTATAATTCTTCTCTTTGTTTTGAAAGCCGCAGCAGGTGGCAGCACCTGGCAGATCTTCAAAAAAAGCCATGCAGTTCAGATCTGGTGATCTCTTACATGAGGAACAATCTGGAAATACAAGCTCTAGACTAGAAGGACTATGAAGTAAAAATGAAGTGGGTGACAGCAAATGATTTCATATCATTGCAAAAAAAAAAAAAAAACCCAAAAACAAACAAAAAACAATGGATACATGTATGTAGTAATCAGGAATAGAGCACAACTAAAATAATCTTCACTTTCATGACTGAAACCGTCTTATTAACTTGTTCCTTCCATTTCATCTCAGAAGTATTGAATGCGATTTTAGACAAATCAAGAGTACATTTCTTTAAAAATGCGATCTGGGTTTACTGCCTTATTTTAATAACGTGTATCTCCCTCAACATTAGGAAGATGCTAGACCCATTTTTCTAAAATTCCTCTAATTTAAATTCTAGAGGCCAATAACTGTGATTTTGAATGATAAACACTGAACATTATATTCCTACTAAACTGTCCTAGAAACACAACATTTGTTTCTAATTATATTTTCTCCCTGTATCTATTCTCCAATGTGCATATAGTGTCACATACAGATTTGGTGATTTAATGTTGACAGTTGAGACATTTTCATTAACATTTCCCAAGTCTTCAAAAAATTCTTACCTCCACAATAGAAAACACATATCCCTCCCCCCCCCCCCCAGACATTCTCATTTTTTTTTTAAAACTAAAAGCATGCTGGATCCACAAAAGCAGCTGAAGTCAAAACTACCTGGTATATCTAGAAAACCCTTGCAGTCATCCATATTGGACAATTTCATCACTCAGTTTGAGTTACAAAATGTAAAAATTTCAGACAGACACATTCAAATCATTCAGACGTTTTAAAAGACACTCAGGTTTCCTAATACATAGTACGTTTCCCAATAAATAGTTATCGGTTTACAAAATTTACGGCAAATACTTCTCTTTGAGTGCTAAGAGTTTAAGAAGGACCATGAAAATGAGTTCATGGCTAAACCTGAGGTGTCCTTTGGGGGGGCGGGCAGTGGCTTCCAGATCAATATATGAAGCTGTCTTTCACCAAATCAGGCCACTGGTCCTTCTAAGCTAAGCATTTGTTGTTCAAGTTGGCAACAGCTCTTCTGGATCTTTGGCAAAATCCTTTTCCAGGTCTGCAGGTTCTGATATCCAAGACCGTTCAGTTGGAGATGCCCAGAACTGAATCTGAGAGCTTCATCTTCAGTGAGTTACAAATGCTGGGAACTATCACCCCGTGTGATGGAAATAAGATACCAAAACTCTTCATTGTAATAAGAAGAAACCAAATGAAATCCTATTTTTTGTTTGTTTGTTTGTTTCTTTGCCCCCTGTATTCTACCGAACCTTCCATAGAACCAATGCAAAATATTTTATTGTGCCGTCTTTGGCATTAAAAGCAAAAGACACAGAAAGCCATTGATTTAATTTATAAAATGCAGGGATCTCCCCCACCCCCACCCCTATTGCTCTGGATTTGTATAGTTGGTATCAGCTATTCAGGCTACATGGCAGGTGCATTTTGCATCCAATCCTTCGTAGCCTTTTCATATCCTATGTTTCCCGCACTCCCTGGGTGTACTGAAGAGGGAGCAGCAGACCATAAACACAAAGCATTGCTTCTGAGTGCCTGTGGGAAAGACTGAGTAAGAATTCAGCAAGAAGGAAGAAATTATGCCACTTTCCGTGAGGGTGGAAAGATACCATTTGCAAAACAGGAACACATGAAACCAGTTCCTTGCTTAGGTCAGCTTTTATGAGCTGCTGCACCTCCTATCCTAGGGGTCTGCAACCTTAAACACTCAAAGAGCCATTTGGACCCGTTTCCCACAGAAAAGACAACACCGGGAGCCACAAAACCCTTCTTGTGCCTGACTATTTCTTGAGCAGCCACAAAACTAGCATATGTAGTTGAATTATAAATGTTCTGTTTTCTTCTGAAACTTTTCTTTCCTTGGATTTATCCATGGTTGGCCTACCAGGGGTTGAAAAGCTCAATAAATCGCGTGCTGGCGGGTGTTGCACATTGGCGGTTATGACGCATATTTTGAGTGACTGGGAGCCACAGCAGAGGGGTGAAAGAGCCACATGCGGCTCCAGAGCCACAGGTTGCTGACCCCTGTCCTATCCAGAGAATCACTGCAGCCAGCAGCCACTGTGATGACTTGCGTTCCTTCGAAGTTCTGGTTTGTTTATCTTTTCTCCATGAACAAGTCGATTGCAATTAAGAGAACCAAACTGTGCCCATAGGCCCTCTAAGGAGGACCAAACGTGGGGTAGCTGCCTGACCATATTGACACTCAACACCAGTTTTGCAAATGTATCGTGATGCTTCTCGGCTGATTAAACCATTCTGACCTAGGAGAATAACATCCCAGATACCACCATTCCGGCTCCTGGCAAACAAAACTGGTTAAGGTTGTGCTCAAAAGGGAAGCGGAACTCAGGGGTTGGGTTCCGTCATTCTGGCGGCCGATGCTTCCTGATCAGCAGGTGAATGGGCCCCTCTGGGACAGACTTGATGATGTTCCACGCATCGTAGTGCATGAGTCCAAGCAAGGATTTTCCTCCAATCGCAAGAATTTCATCACCCGCTTCCAGTTTTCCAGCTTGTTCAGCAGCACCACCTGTTGGCAGAAACATCACAGTGCAGATTGGTAGAAACACTGAAAAATATGCATTATTTCTAGAGTTAAAACACAGCTAGTTCCTCAACATACAACAGTTCATTTAGTGATCATTCAAAGTTACAACGGCACTGGAAAAAGGTGAGTTATGACCATTTTTCACAGTTACAACCTTTTCAGCATCCGTATGATCATGGAATCAAAATTCAGACGCTTGGAAAGCTGGTTCATATTTACGACCATTGCTGGGTCCCAGGGTCATGTGATACCCTTTTGTGACCTTCTGAAAAGCATAGTCAATGCAGAAGTCAGATTCACTTAACAACTGCATTATTAATTTATCAGCTGCAGGGATTCACTTAACAGCTGGGGTGAGAAAGGTCGTAAAATGAGGCAAAACTCACTTAACAAATATCTGGCTTAACAACAGAAATGTTGGGCTCAATTGTAGTCGTAAATCGAGGACTACCTGTACAGTACATTACAGTTCATGTACAAAAACCTCTATAGGCTATTTTCTTTGAAAGATGCACCGAGCATTTTGTTCTGACCCAGCCTTAGCAAGTAATGATAAGCCACTTACTCACGAGTAAAAACAAAGCCCTTTTCAAACAGGGTAGGGACAGTCTTTTATTCGTGTGGATAAACAAAAAAGCCAAACATATTTAGTCCCAACAAACCTGGGTTTATTTTATTTATTTATTTTATTATTTTATTTTATTGAATTTCTATACCGCCCTACTCCCGAAGGACTCAGGGCGGTGCACAGCCATGAAATAAAACACATAGATATACAAAATTTAAAATCGAATAAAATGAATTAAATAAATTTGGCTGAATTAATACCCATAATTTAAAATACCCATATTTTAAAATACATTAAAAAATTTAAAATTTACACTTAAAAGGGAGAAGATTTAGGCGAGGCCAGCTTGATGAAATAAAAGCGTCTTCAGCTCGCGGCGGAAGGTGCGCAGATCCAGAATCCTCCGTATCTCTGGGGGGAGCTCATTCCAGATCGTCGGTGCCCCCACAGAGAAGGCTCTCCCCCTAGGGGCCGACAGCCGACATTGTTTGGCCGATGGCACCTGGAGGAGCCCCTCTCTGTGGGAGCGTACTGGTCGGTGGGAGGCTGTTGATGGTAGTAGGCGGTCCCGTAAGTAACCAGGTCCTAAGCCATGGAGCGCTTATCCAAGAAATCCGAATTGCTTGCTGTATACTAGAAACGAACGGTTGTCTGCAACAACCGGCCATTCCCAAACCCCCACTATTTATTTCCCAGCCAGGGAAGGACTGGCTAGCATCCATGTCTGCCTCTCCCTGAGAGCCGGCTTATTGCTTTCCGTTGTTCTCCTCTCCTTTCCACTCTGCGCATACGCGCATCTCAGATGGGCCCCATCTGTTCCTATGCCCTGAAGACAGCTGCCTCTCCACCTGGGGGAGGAAGGAAGGCCCCAGCTCTGTCTCTGTCTCTAATGCTGTTTCCTTGTCAGAGCCTGTTGTGATCTGCCAGCAGCCTGTGGAGCTGACAGCGGAGTCCGACAGTGAGGAGGCTGGGGAGGAACATGGGCCAATTCTGGAGTCTGGGGAAGGGCTCTGCATCGGAGGCAGAGATGGGGCCAGGGCCATCTGGGAGTTATGCGTGGACTTCGGAGCCTTCAAAGTCGGACATCAGAGAGCCAGAGGAACAGGAGGAGCCTGTTCCTAGTGCGCGCATGCGCAGAGCTGCCAGCAGGCAAGAACAGTTAAAACTAAAGGGACGACTCGGGAGTAAGGCCTGGAGGTGATTGGCCCCTCACATAAGGCTTAAAAGAGGAGCAAAGGCACATGGGCCCTTTGCAGGAAAGCAACGTTGTTAATTCTGTTCCCAGTCGGCATCTCTGTTTGATTCTGGACTCTGTGTGGCTTTGCCAAGTAGGTCTTTGGCAGCATGTCAAGGGAGATAAAGGTTGGTGATTATCCCAAAGAACTTCTACCGAAGGACTTTTTGCAACTAATTAGGACAGCTGTGAATGAACATAATTCACAGCTGTTGCAATAAAAGAGGTTTTTGGGACTCAGGAAGCCTAGATCACAACAGAGCCTTCCAAAGGCTCCGAAGCTGGCCCAGGCTCTCCCTCAACTTCCTCCTTGTCTGACTCTGCTGCTAGCTCTGCTAGCAGCTGACAGGCCACAACACATTTCTGATAAACAGGGTGACGATAATGACATAGAGAAAGCAGATTAGGAATTGGCTGGTCTGTTGAGTGAGATCTAACCAAGCTGGAATTTTGAACAGTACAACTATCAGGAAGTGATTCCAGAGTGCATCCTTTTGTTAATGCTGACATCAATATTTTGTTTGGGTAGGGGGAGAGGTCTCCTTTTTTGATTCTGCAAAAGCTATGCAGGAAATTTGTGCCCTAAATAGGGCACGTTCAGACTTGCCAAGAGGGCAATGCATTTTCTTTAGTAGAGGAAAAAACAGGATTTTCAGAAAACGGTCCAAGTTACCTTTAAAAATTCTTTTGATGAGCAAAGGTCTGTCTCCAGATACTGAAGCTTTCCCACCATCCAGACTGAAACCCAAGCCAGCAGAAGTCTTCAAAAGTTCAACACAAATGGCCCCATTCAGGTCTCCGCTTGGACCTTTGGAGAGAGAAAGAAAAAAAAAATTCAGAAAAAAACCTCACTCTTATGATCAAATATAGGTTAATCACCTATAAGAGGTCATACTCCAGAGAGCAGAAAACAGACTTGACAGTACACCAGAAGAACGTCTGGTTTTCCAAATCTTTGGAAAGTATAAATCATATTTTGCAGTCATTCCTTCCTTATGTTATTTCTATTTTTGAAATGGAGAGCAGACCATCGGAGACTTCATTTTTAGCTGTGGCAGCAGGGCTCCAGCAATGCTGTTGGAATACTTGAACTTGGATTATACGAACGCATATAAATCTAAATGTCTCTGGGAGTAAAATGTTCGTATTTATTATCTGATTTATAAACCAAAAGCTGAGAGCCACTGTCAGATGTCCAACGGCCCTGGGTGAAAATCTAGCAGTTCGGTTCTGGATTTGGCCTGAGAGATTTAAGCATCTCCCTATTTTTTCAAAGGATTATCTGGATACTAAAGGATTCCAATTGACAATTGAATGTATTTTCAAATTTTCACCTACTCCATCCAAAAGTTTATAACTGGAGTATGAGTCCTACGGGGGCAGCTCTCCCCACCACTGCTTAAGAGAGTAGAGGGGTCGGTGAATTCATTTCATACCCTACTTAACCAGGGGTGGGCTTCAAAAATTTTAGCAAGGGATTCTCTGCCTGGTTGGTGGGTGGGTGGGCGTGGCCATGGTGGGCATGGCCTAGTCAGCCTTCCTGCACCACGGCGGGGGGTTGGGGGCGTTTTTGTCCTCCCCGGGCTCCGAAGGCTTTCCTTGAGCCTCTGGGAGGGCGAAAACGGCCTCCCCAGGCTCCGAAGGCCCTCCATTTCTGGCTTTCCTGAACTTCCGGTAGGCCCGTTTTCCACCCACCCCGAGCCACCACGCACACCCTGCAGTTACCTGCATCCAAAACAGGCCATCTGGGGACTCCTGGGAGGGGCGAGATGGGTGGGGAGGCCAGCCAGGAGTGGGATTTGGGGGTCCTCCGAACTGCACAGAATCTTAGCTAGAGGTTCTCCCGAACCCTTGCAAACCCCCAGCAGCCCACCCCTGTACTTAACCCATATTGTACAGTACCTGCTTCACTTCCTGTGGCTGCAGCCACCAAAGTTGGCCTATCCGAAGTAGGCATTTCATTGCTCCGAGGAGGCATCCTTCCTCTGTCTTTCTCCTTCTTGATGACCACGATGGCATATTTATGGAGCCTGGCCTGATGGAGCGCGTTGAGGACATCCCCATGGACAGAACCCGCCAAACAAGTGCCATTGATAGAAAGAATGAGGTCACCACGGTGAATTTTCCCTTCCTGGGAAGCCACCCCTTTGGAAAACACCCGATGGACCTTCAAGAAGACACATTAGGATGAAGATTGTCAATGGATCAAAGAACTGTTAGCAGATTTTAAAGCTTATCCTTTTCTCAGTTTAACTACCGGTAATTGATTTGTGAGTGCCTTCGAGTCAGTCTTGGCTCTTGGCAACTCTTGGACAAGACCCTGCAGCTTTCTTAGCAATATTTCAGAAGTGGTTTGCCATTGCCTGCTTTTTAGGGCTGAGAAACAGTGATTGGCCCAAAGTCACACAGCTGGCTTTATGCCCAAGGTGAGACTAGAACACTTGGCCTCCTGGTTTTCTAAAAATCTTCACGTGAACAGAAGTTCAGTAATGGTGCCTTTTGAACTGTTGGAAGAAATGTGAGATAATATCCAATTTAACAAAATCTGGCTCCTATTATTAAGAATCCCGGCTGTAGAATTTCATTTGTCAATTTACTAAGAAATATAAAAGACCCAATCTAGGGCAAAGCAAATGTTAAAGAAACAACGGCATCTTGAATGATCAGCTGGTTAAAAACGAAGGCCAATAAACCTAGTGATTATGTAAATTGGCAGCCCCATTTATTATGGAAAACTTCCCTGATACTGTTAGTTAGAGACATAGTTTTGGAAGCCGACCATCATGTATTTCAAAAGGTTAAGAAAAGGTAAAGGTAAAAGTTTCCCCTGTCCGGTTGTGTCCAACTCTAGGGCATGGGGCTCATCTCCGTTTCTTCGTAAGGGAGCCAGAGTTGTGCGAAGACATTTTCTGTGGTCATGGGGCCAGTTTGGTTATATGCCAAAGATGCACAGAATGCTGTTATCTTCCCACCAAAGTGGTACCTATTAATCTACTCTCATTTGCATGTTTTTGAACTGCTAGGTGGGGAGGAGCTGGGGCAAGGAACAGGAGCTCACCCTGTTGTGTGGTGCTCGGGCAGGGGTAGGCTCCTGGGGGTTCCGCAGGGTTCGGGCGATCCTCTAGCCAAGGATCGCCAGGGTTCAGCAAACCCCCAAATGCCATCCCTAGCCACCCCCACCCTGCCCCTCGCACTCCACCCCTCCCCTCCCAGGAGTCTTCAAGTAGCCTATTCATATTCCAGGTAAGTGCAGGGGCTGCACGGAGGGGCTGGGAGGTCAAAAACTGGGCCTACCGGAGGTTCCGGAAGTCTGGAAACCGGCCTGTTTCCTACCTCCAGAGAGCCTCCGGACCCTGTTTTCGCTCTCCCGGAGGCTCAAGGAAAGCCTCCGGAGCCTGGGGAGGGCGAAAAACGCCCCCACCCCACCATGGTGCAGGTGGCCAACTAGGCCACGCCAGCCCAGCAATGGGGCAGCAAACCCATTGCTAAAGGATCGGTGCCTTTAACCTCTGAGCCATTGCACTCCTGTGGACTAAACAACTGGAGCTACCTAAGGGCCAATCTAGGCTAGCCTTCTGTTCTTGGAGAAGCTTCCAAGCCAGGCATAATACAGAGAGCAAAGGAATGCATCTCTTGCCCAAAGGGTACCAACTCATAGTGAAACAGATCAAACCACCTGCCCCATTCTCAAATAGCTACACAATGGAGATGAATTTGATCATGTGAGCCAAGTCTCCATGGAAGTGGATGGAAAGATAATATAGCACTCTGTAGGAATGTCAGCGAAACTCAGAACCAAATGCTTCTAAATGTTTAAAACAGATGCTTCTTGTAATATTTTTGAGCCAAATTCCTGAGACAGATACACACTTTTTTGGAAGATGATTTTGAGTGGAAAGGGGAAAACGGGGGGGGGGTGCATTTTGGGGTAACAAGATTCTTTGCTCCAGAAAAATGATGCTCTTTGCCTCGTTCAAGGGCAGAAATTATGCAGTTTGCCTCCAGGCTGGTTTGAAGATTTCTCCATTTACTTCCAGCAAAGGGAAATACCAGAGGAAATCCCAAAATAATAAGCAAAATAACATGGCAGCTTCTTCACTTTGCTTGCAGCTTCAAAACAATTTCATCCGAAGTTTCACTGAAGCCAAACCCACCTTTGACACGATCCTAGTCTTAGCATCCCAGCAGGTGGCAGCATTTAGCTGACCTTTGCTGACTTTGAGAAGCTAAGCAGGGTTAGACTTGTTTAGTACTTGGATGGGAGACACCTGGAAGTCCCAAAGCTGATGGGGAAAGTTGTAAAACACCAGAAAGGAGACAATAGCAAACCACTGGACTTAACTTGAGAAAGGCTTTGCCTTCAGTCTCAAGGGAATTCACCTCTACCATTGAAGAATTTCTGTAAAATGCATGGAATCATTCAGAAAAACACACAGAAATACTAATCAGCAAGTTGCACTGAACTTCCTGAATGGACTATAAATAAAAACAAAATAAATTCAAATCCACCCAAAACTATCTTGGGTCAAAAGGCTGTAGCTGAGCAAAAATAAAATCATTGAGGTATACACCTAGAAACAAATTTCAATTTCCAATCTTTATTGTCAGTGCACAACATATGTACAATGAGATTGTTTGAGCTCCCTTCAGTGCACTCCCCACCCCCAACACAATACAACTCACAGTGAAGACAGAAAATCCCTAACCCAATAAATCATATTAACAAAACATCCAGTCCTATTGCACCAATGTGAACACGTTACACATTGCGCCGGCCCTGCAGTCCATCATACTACGTAGTTATGGTGTTATTTCTCATTCAGGAATCTGACAGCCCACGGATAAAAACTGTTCTTCAGCCTGTTTGTGCGGCTGGCTATACTTCTATTATCTCCTTCTCGATGGTAGGAGGGTAAAGAAGTGATGACCAGGGTGAGAGTTGTCCCTGAGAAATTTTCCTCACTCTTCCGTTTATTGAAGCAAATTCAATAAATAAATTTGGATCACATGAGTAAGATTCCATTTGATATTGCCAAAAATCTAAACATTGCTGTACGTAGGTGGGTAGTTGCAGTTCATATAAGCCGCAAATGTTTAGTTAATGTAATTTCTTGCAGCCCTTTTAAAAGTTTTTTTCAGGTCCCAGTAGAAAGACCAAGTACAGTTTGGGAATCTTGGAATACAAAGCATATGATTGGAACTATGATAAGGCTTGGATGGAGCTAATGTTAAGGATTTCCAGTCTCCAAGATCTGTGTGAGCCTAACACAGAGACTTACCTTGGCAAACTTGTGTGCATCAGAGTTTATCTGGCACGCAGGCCCACTCGCCTCTCTGATAGCATCAACAGATGGGATACAAAATGAAGCAAGCAAACATCCACAATAGGATCGTACTGCTAACACATGACTTAAGAGTTCTCGATCTAATTTCCAGCTGGCTTTGCAACCCACTTAGAAGAAAGATGCAGTCACCACTTACGATGATTGATTTTTGTTCCAGGTCTATTCCTCCAGCGACGCTAAATCCCAGCCCAGAACCTTCCTCTTTATTCAAGACTACAAAGTAAATATCTTCTTTGCTCTGATCCCCCCCCAAAAAAGGGGGGAGGGGAAGGAAGAGAAGGGGGGAGGGGAGAGAAGGAGACAAGACAAAATATGCAAAGATTAAAAACCCTTGAAAGAACATACTCCACAATTTAAACAAAATGCCTGGAAAATGAATCTGGCATTTTATTTTTTTTTAAAGAAGAGTCTAAATCTTAAAATAACTTCAATTTCAGAAATTAAAGGGAAGACGTGAAGAAGAGATTTGAGTATATTTAATGTCACTAAAAAAAGTATAAGAACTCAAATAAACCACAGCTTTAGTTCAAGGTGCCTCTTCCAGAGTTCAGGCCTGGAATTAATTTTCAGTGCCCAGGCACAGACATCCATCCGTCAGGTCAGTAATAACATGAAAAATAGAAATGGACTGACAGGCACATGTGGACTACACAAAGCACATGAGCAAAACTTGTGTCCAGCCATTCAATTTTGAGTTGTGGAGGTGCCCCACATTGTACAACTTCACCCTGTGCACAAAGTCTTGGATTGGACTTGATGATGGGAACCCATCTCATTAGGAACTGAGCTACCTCTAAGCAATTTAAAGCACCTGACAGAGAAATCAAAATATTATTTGTTAGGGTCCTATCTCCATCTCCCATTGGTGCTATGTGATGATATGTGATGATCAACAGAGGATCTTTTTCAGGTTTGTGAAAGGCAAAGTGAATAAGTGGTGACTAGGATCTTTTTTGGTTTAAAAGTTAACGGTAAAGGTTCCCTTCACACATATGTGCTATGAGCACTGCCCCCTGACTCTAGGGGGCGGTGCTCATCTCCTTTTCAAAGCCAAAGAGCCACCGCTGTCCGAACTCCATGGTCATGTGGCCGGCATGATTCAACACCAAAGGAGCACGGAATGCTGTTACCTTCCCACCAAAAGTGGTCCCTATTTTTCTACTTGCATTTTTTACGTGCTTTCGAACTGCTAGGTTGGCAGAAGCTGGGACAAGTAACGGGAGCTCACCCCGTTATGCGGCACTAGGGATTCGAACCACTGAACTGCTGACCTTTCGATCGACAAGCTCAGTGTCTTAGCCACTGAGCCACCGCATCCCTTTGTTCTTTTTTGGTGACAGCACCCAATTTATGGAAACCTACGCCCAGGGAAATTCACCAGTTTCTGACTTCAGGTGAAGGCCTATACCTTCTCCCAGTCTTTTAATTTTAGGTTAATATTTGACTACTTTTTCATACTATTTGCTGAATGTTTTGCTGTGGTTTAAAAGAATGGGCTATACCCAAGAGCAGTTTCACCTTTCTGGAAAATATTTCTACTGGCAGGCAGTGCAACTTCTAATGTTTAGCATTTCCAAACCTGTGATACAGAAGAATTCCAAAAGGGGACAGGAACAATGAAAACATGACTTGACAAGTGACCTCTTTGCTTTTTATTGTTCTTTGTTTGTTATTTTAAGTCCAATCTGGAATACCCTATGTTCCACCATGGAGTATAAAAATGAAGTATAAAAATGCTAAAATTCAGGTACTAGCATTGACATAGTCCAATATAAAGCAGCTGTTCTGACCCAGCTCCCCAAACACGACAAACCCTCTGACCTGAACTCAAAAGATTCCTTTATTAGGAATGCCGGCAGCCCTGGCAAAAAGTTTCTCTCACAGATTAACAAGTCCGTCCGTCCGTCTGTCCGGAAGATGAATACTTGTCTGCCATATTTATCCATCTCCACTGCCCGCCTTTTATCCCCATAGCTAGGGTGAGGCTTCGCTAGCAGCAGTGGCTCTACCTTCCCCAGGATCAGCCCACGGCTTTCCACTGCTCTCCTCTCCTCTGCCTTCTCCGCAGCCATGCGTCAGGCACTGGACCCAGCTGTTCCTTCTCCTCTTAATCAACCACCTGCAGACCTGGGGGCTGTTGACTCTCCATCTGAGGGCAGACGGCTGGCTCAGGCTCCGCTTCTGTCTCTCTATCTCTGGCAGTTCCATTCCCTCTTCCCCCTCGGAGCTCCCAGGTTTCCCTGATGCTGACCCTGACTCCCACACTTCCTCCTCCTCTGATTCAGCTGATGGAGGGGCCAGCGGCCAACAGGTCACAACAGCAGCAGCCTCCAATCTTTTGGGCACCAGGGACCGGTTCCCTGGAGAGGTTTTTCCACGGACCAGAGTGAGTTTGGTTGCGTGTGCTACCTGCATCCCGCAGATGGGGCTTTACTTGTTTGCGCAGCCCTGTTTCTGGCACAGACCAGTGCCGGTCCCATCGGGGGTTGGGGACCCCTGATATAAAAGATTTCTATTACAGAAGCAGTTCAGCCAGACCAGATAGGGTTTAACTTGAATCCTAATTGCCAGGAATGTGACCAAATCTGCTAAATAGGCAAACTTTTGTGGCCCAGAAGCCATGCATTTTTTTGGTAAGTTTTTTTTCCTGGTTGTTCAAAAATATACTAAGCAAGGTTGGCATTTTTCAGGTAATTAGCCTTTATTTCGCTGTTTCACTAAAAAAAATAATATTTTAAAAGTGTACTAAGATACTCTGATGGCTCATGCAATTACTTTATTTTGTTCCCAGTTCAAAATATTCATATTTTAACACACATAAACCACTCAGAATCCATGAGGATTGAGATGGTAGACAGATAAATAAATTGCACAAATAAAGTCGGTTGGAAACTTGTTGCTTGTTGGTAAATTTCAATGGTACCATGCAGAATTTTGAGGGAGCAAAAAAATGGTACCAGCGAACCTTGAATGGGCAATTGGTCAGTTCCACATTTGGACATTTTCCTTAAAAACAAAAACAAAAATCTCGCGGTCTTGTACATATTTTGACAGATTCCAAACAAAATGTTCCATTTTTAATTTCTTTAAAAGCAGAGAATGAGCCAGATGACAACCTGGCTCAAGATTCCCGAAATGAAAGACAAGAGGATGAAAAATTAGAAAACTTTCGAGAATTGTCTTGCTCTGTACTATAAAAGGACAAGTTCTGAATTGCATAATATTTTCCAGCTCCCGTGCCACTTTGGACTTAATAGCAGATGTGAGGAAATATGCAGACATGGCCCATTTTCCAAAAAGCATTGGGTTTCATAAATATTTGAGTTCTTGGATTTTTACAAACTGGCATGAATAAACAATTTCTCTCGAGACCCATGTGAAAATACTTAGAATGACTCTGGATTATTCTTGACTGAGAACATAATCCAGTCTTGGTATTTTGGCATGATATGCCAAGCCCACCTGACTCAATTAAACTTGCTTTAATCAGGTGCTGGAATAAAACCAAGGGATTGTGGGAAGTCTCCTATTCGAGGAATTACTCATATATGAACCCTCAAGTTATGGTATGCAGAAATGTCATCAAACAGCTTGAGCATTTACTCTCCTATGAAGAGAGACTGAAGGAGCTGGACATGGTTAGCTGTGAGGGGGGGAAAAAGCCTGCGGAAAGATAATATTTCAGGAAAAAAAACTTTTAAAAATATCACACAAAGATTAAAGCCTACTGTCTCTTGTTCCAGAAAGCAGAACGCAGAGCAATGAACTAATGTTACAAGAAGATAGACGGTGATTGAAGGCCAGAGAAAACCTTCTTAAAAGCTAAGAGCAGTCTGATAGGAAAACTAGTTATGAAAAGTTGTTGGATATCATCAAATGAAGACATCCAACTGATTCTTTCAGCAAAGGATGGTTTTTGATGGAACCCTAATTGCAACCTCTGAATTCTCAGATTCAATCAATTTGCACAGAGATATACTATCTCAGCGGGTGTTAAATCCAGTATCGGCAGACGGTGGCTTGGTTGAGTCCATAATCCATATTTTTTTGTATTTCTTTTTTTCTTTTCTCCTTTTGCAGAATCTACTCCTCACCCCCACCCACGGCAGAGAGGAAAGCTTACTGAAACAAGTTATCTTTTCCTGAACCTGCTTGCTGGTTAACAAGCTGTGACTTTTATTAGTTAATTAGCACTCTCAGCTGGCTTGCACTACTGCCTGAAACTGGCAAGATCCTAATCAGTTTCACCCAGTGGTGAAATTCAAATTTTTTTACTACCGGTTCTGTGGGCGTGGCTTGGTGGGCATGGCAGGGGAAGGATACTGCAACATCTCCATTCCCACCCCACTCCCAGGGGAAGGATACTGCAAAGTCTCCATTCCCATCCCACTCCTGGGGGAAGGATATTGCAAAATCTCCATTCCCACCCCACTCTGGGGCCAGCCAGAGGTGGCATTTGCCGGTTCCCTGAACTACTCAAAATTTCCGCTACCGGTTCTCCAGAACCTGTCAGAACCTGCTGGATTTCACCCCTGGTTTCACCCTAAAGCACAAGTGACAAACTCGCGGCATCACGTTGCCATCCCATGACGTATCGCAACATTTTTTTAGACCAGTGCGCTCCAAAAACAAATAGGTAGACCGGTACGGCTCTGCAAGCAAAGCCTTAAAAGCCTGGTAGACCAGTACCTCTGCTAAAGCCTAAAGAATTGTCACATGACCATCAAACCACACCCACAAAATAAGCCACGCCCACAGAACCGGTAGTAAAAAAAAAATTAGAACCCATCCCTGCCCCACTCCCCCTTAGGATAACTGCAGCTCCGCAGCCCTCCTGAACAGCTTCATCTTCTCCTTGGCAGCAATTCCTTCTTCACCCACTTCCAGATTCCTGGCTTCAAACCTTCACAGGGCCATCCCACCTCACTTACCACACAGTAATTCTGTGGCTTCTTCCTAAGCCGTGTCTCCTTCTGTATAAATGGTTTCAAATTCATCTTCTCCCAATCCACTTCTCCCATAGCAACATTTAAACAAGATCATTGCTACTAGTTTCAAAACTGTTTTCATTTCACCTTCACAGCTCACAAGGGGATTTAAATGCAATAATGGGATTGTAGAAAAAGGACCGCAAAGCCTCTGGGAGATATCAGTGCTTTTGTTGGTATATTTTTTTTTGCAAACATAGCTTCCCAAACATAGCAACCCTACTGATTTTTTTTTTCCCGGTTATAAAACCCAGACAAATATATGTGATGACCCGGAGTGTGGCACAAAGGCAACACAGCCAGAGAACTGGTATGAGTCCCTTTATTGGCACCAACTTTGACCCCAAAGTCCCTTTTATTCTCTGGCCTGGAGAAAACTTCTCCCACAAATCTGCAGATACTCCAGTCCAAAGGCTGTAAACAGAATGGCTACAATCAATCACTCCAGCGGGGCAAGATAATGAGTTCCAGACTGGAAGAATAATTCCAGCAAGACAAGATAGGCACACAGTAGCATGGCAATAATTCCAACAGTCAGGAGGAATGCCAGGAATGCAGGCCACAACTCTCAATGCCAGATTAATTCAGCGTTTGTTCCCAACAAACGGCCCTTCCAACTGCTTCTCCTTTAAACTCCATCCCCAGGTGTGCCTTGTGAAGGGAATCGGGGCTCTTTCCTTCCTCGTAAGCCACGCAACCCACATTGCTCTCTTCTGCATTCTTCCCTGCGTGCCCTAGGATGAGAAGGGGGTGGGCCTTGGTCTTCATCTGAACCCCCTCTCCTTTGTTCTATCTCTCCCCTCCTCTGCCCAGCCTGACTTTGCCCTTCCTCAGTTTCCTCCACAGTCAACAGAGCCACTCTCCCACTCTCTGTCAGCTGTTCGTCTTCTGTCTCAGATTCAGACTCGAAGGGGACATGATACATATCTACTGAAAACACGGACGCGGAGAAGACAATTTGATTTTAGTTTTGTGTCAATGAAGAAAGTGTTTCTGTTACTACTGTGTTTCCCCGAAAATAAGACCCTGCCGTATATTTTTTTGAACCCTGAAATAAGTGCTTGGCCTTATTTTCGGAGAGGTCTTATTATTTTGGGGCACGTGGAGCAAGATGGGACTCCTCTTGCCGTCTTATCTGATTTCCAGCTCTGTGTTTAAAAATTTTCGGGAAGGGTTTATTTTCAGGGTCAGGCTTATTTTAGCACAGGCGCTCAAAAGCCCGATTGGGCTTATTATCAGGGGATGCCTTATTTTGTGGGAAACAGGGTATGCAATGGATGATAGCTTGGGACAGGCCACTGATTGAATTATAGTCTTTATCCTCTCCTCTTGGTGAGATGAAGGGAAAGTTGAGGAACACACAATTGACTCATTGTGTTCTTTGCATCTTCTCTATGTTGTGAGGCTAAAAAGAACTGAAGGTGTTCTCAAACTACTTTCCAACTGCTTTGCAAGGGATTGGAGGGGTGTGTACACACTCACACGCCCCAGAGTGGTGTGGTGGCCTAGAGGTGGAGCTCTTGCCTCACAATCAGGAGGTTGTGAGTTCCATCCTAGGTAGAGGCAGATATTTCTCTCTCTGGGCACATTGAGATTATATCTGCTGAATATAACTCCGCATTGGCGACAGGAAGGGCATCCGGCCAATAAATACTCAGCTCCATTCAGTTGCCCAGACTCCATTCCGCAGGGATTATGGGGTCATTAAAAGACAATGATGATACACACTCACACACCCACACATAGATACCCATGTGTGTAGCTGTGTATCTAGGCTTACCTCTGCTTGTGCTTTGATTTCCTGAAGTAAAGAAGAAACATCGCTTTTCGTTGTCACCGAAGACAAAATGGACTGCAATTTCTGCTGATCCAGAGAGGAAACCAATAGTTCATCCAAGCTAAAATACAACGTATGCAAAATGACATTGGATGAGACTGAAGAAAGAAAGTGTCTGGTTTAATATTAACAGATAATACAGCCGCGGTGGCGCAGTGGTTAGAATGTAGTACTGCAGGCTACTTCTGCTGATTGCTGGCTGACTGCAGTTCGGCAGTTCGAATGTCACCAGGCTCAAGGTTGACTCAGCCTTCCATCCTTTCAAGGTCGGTGAAATAAGGACCCAGATTGTTGGGGGCAAACAATCTGACTCTGTAAACCGCTTAGAGAGGGCTGTAAAGCACTGTGAAGTGGTATATAAATCTAAGTTCTATTGCTATAATATCTCGAATGGCTATTTCTAAATATGAAAAAGACCAAGAAGTATAATTGTAATGCCGAACAAAATCTGGTTTTATAGAGAAAAAGCCACCTAAATTCTATTCGCAAATATTAAGACTTTGATTCCCTTCATGGTGATATATATACATTGTCAGAAGGCAAAACAACCAACCCATAAAAAGTGCTTTAACACAAAAAGTGAAAGAAATACAACAGTGATAAAAGAAAATATATGTCATTATAACAATAAGTTACAATTCTATATATAGGTAGTCCGTGAGTTACGACCACAATTGAGCCCAAAATTTATGCTGCTAAGTGAAATATTTGTTAAGTGAGTTGGCCCCATTTTACAACTTTTCTTGCCACAGTTGTTAAGTGAATCATTGCATTTGTTAAGTTAGTAACATGGTTCTTAAGTGAATCTGGATTCCCCATTGATGTTGCTTGTAAGAAGGTCACAAAGCGGATCACCTGACCCCGGGACACTGCAACTGTCATAAATATGAACCTGCTGCCAAGCATCCGAATTTTGATCATGTGACTGTAAGGATGCTGCAACAGTCGTAAGTGTGAAAAACGGTCATAAGTCACTCTTTTCTAAGCTGTTGTAACTTTGAACGGTCATTAAATGAACTATTGTAAGTCGAGGATTACCTGTATACATTTCTAATGTAAATATTATTCAAGTATGTATATATTTCTAGTGCATTAAACAATTATCTTTTCACACGTTCTATTTCTTCTCTTTGGCAATGCATTTTTCACCATCACTATTATTTTTGAAGTTTGCTCTGTTTTTCTTATTAATTAAAAAACAATAAAAAAAATAAAAAAAGACTTTGCTTCCCTTTATATATTATTTTCTTACAAAAACAAGGACTCTCCTGAAATATTCCTGATCTAACAGATTTGGAAATGATTCTCCTTTTTTACTTCTGCTAATTCTAAGAATGTGATTAAGAACAAAAGATAATCTTTTGAGGAATTAGGTAGAAAACTGAAGCCACAATCCCTATTCTTTCCCTTCTATTTCTATTTCATGCATCTAGGAATGATGGCAAAAATATGGTTTTGAACCTTAAAAAGTTTGAATTAACAGACTATTAAAAAGCCAGAAACAAGAGTAAGGCCCATGGTGGAATTTGCTGCAATTCAATTTACAGGAAATGAGACTGGGAAATCAAGGAAAAAGAAAGAAGAAAATGGGTAGGAAAATTGATAGAAAAGTACAGAAATGGTAAAGGTGCTTTTGGAGAAGAAAAAGTACAGGTAGTCCTTGACACGATCATTGGGATCAGAATTTCTGTTGCTGAGCAAGGCAGTTGTTAAGTGAGCCATGCCTGATTTTATGACCTTTTTGCAAATTATTAAGCAAACCACTGCAGTTATTCAGTACATTATGTGCAGAGATGGGTGTCACATACTGTAACAACCTGTTTGCCCCAGTGGTGAAATTCAAATTTTTTTACTACTGGTTCTGTGGGCGTGGCTTGGTGGGCGTGGTGTGGCTTGGTGAGCATGGCAGAGGAAGGATACTGCAAAATCTCCATTCCCACCCCACTCTGGGACCAGCCAGAGATGGTATTTGCTGGTTCTCCAAACTACTCAAAATTTCTGCTACCAGTTCTCCAGAACCTGTCAGAACCTGCTGGATTTCGAAAATGCGCACGTGTGCCTTCTGTGCATGCGTGCAGAATTGAAAAAACGGCGATTATATAGGACGGGATAGCACCAGGGAGGGTGGGCGGGCCCAGCCGCTGGTTGGAACAACCGGTTCGCCTGAACCGGTCTGAACCAGCAGTAGCCCACCTCTGATCAGGTGGTTCTTAAGCAAATATGGCTTCCCCCATTGACTTTACTTGCCAGAAGCCAGCTGGGAAGGTCACAAAGAGGGACCACGTGACCCTGGGACGCTGCACCCATCGTAAATACATGCCCGTTGCCAAGCATCCTAATTTTGGTGATGCAACCATGGCGATGCTGCAACGGTCATGAGTGCACGGACCAACCGTAAGTCACTTTTCCCAGTGCCGTGTAACTTTGAGTGGTTGCTAAATGAATAGTTGTAAGTCAAGGACTACCTGTACTGGATGTCAATCAGGAGAAACTATGGCAACTCATTCTGCAAGAGTGAAAATATATATATATATAATTGGGTACTGGGTGGAGAATACGGCTTCAAATAACCTTTACTTGTAGTTTCTTTAAGTATCTAAGTCTGTGATTCTTAGAGCTCTGAAATGCCCGAGCACTCCTAGTAAAATATTAGGAGCTGACAATTTGTTGACTCAGATCTTGGGGAGCTGGGGTGAGCATTCAATGCTTTGATCAAGTCCTTGGCTTTCACAGAGCTCTGACAGTAAGAATGAAACTATACACATGAAAAGAAAACATACAACTTGCCGACTGTTGCAATATCCCGTTTTTCTTGGTGCAAAACTCAAATAGGTTGGGTTCAGAATTTGTGTAGTTTAATGCAAAGAACACAAACCAGGGCAAATCTTTTCGATTCTTTCCTCCACCCGTGAAATATTTGCTTTTGAGTTTTAAACCTTCGCCTTCTCCTACTACGAGAGCTAATATTAAGAAAACGTTAAAACTAACCTGATAGACCAGCTCTTCCCTGAGTTCACTTTATTCAGACCGCCATCATACTGTAGCCCTTCCTCGTCAGAAGTTGATCCAGGAGTTCCAGAGCCACTGTTCCAAGGACTGGTTTCTTTGGAAGGTTGCCTGCTTGTCATCCCAGGACTGGATAATCCCGAGCATTCATTCATCTTGGAAACATTTTCAGTGGGAGCATCGAAGGATCTCACAACAGGGGGAAGATGCAATTCGGTTTTGATGGGTGAAGGTTGAGACTCCATAGAGAAGTCCTCACTGCAGAGCTTATCAAGATCTGGCATGCTCAGAGCTCTCAGCTCCCGGAGTTTGGAACGAGACAAGGGCATGTGTCTAATATGCCCACCTGAGGCTCTGCTTCTTCGGATACTGGTAGTAGATGGTGGTAAACCAACTGGTTCTTCAAAAGCATGCCTTTCACTCTTCTCCAAGTGACCATCATCTCTGCTGCTCTTGTGGAAATTCTGTTGCACGTTTGTTAATGTCGAGCTGGTTGAAGATCTGGTGACCCTTGGAGACGTTGGGGCTTCACCTCCACAGTACGAACTCAAGCTCCGTCGCAGGGCTTGGACCGCATCATTCACGCTGGTAGCTGACACTGCAGAAATGCCACTGGACAATCTTCGGCCAATGGGCAGTTTAGAGTTCAGGGTGGTGGAATGGAGGTCGATGGCTTTGACCGTCGGCCTATCGAAATTAGCCAGGTTCTCAAACGATTTGATTCGCTGCTTTACAGAAAAAGAAGAAACGGGATCATGTGGCCAATTGAGTTCGTAGTAGTAATAGTTCCTCCTGCCCTTTTTCAGTTTTTGTGCAGCGGGGCTGCCATCGTCACTGTTGGATTTCAGGACGCCAGCAGATGCGGCTTTCGCATCCTGATGGTTGAGACTAAGGTGGACCACCTTCAGCATGGCCAACTCTGCGTCGGAAGGGTTTGCACTCGAAACGTTTCCTAAGGTATCCTGGACGTGATGGGCCGGTTGATCCCTATCGTTGCTGTTTTCCCTTAAATGATTGGATAATTGTGCTGGCACCGAATAGGTCCTTGTCACAGGTTTTAATGCACCGAGAGCATCTTCCTTGTGGAAAGTGCTCTGCCGACAATCCAGTGCTTTGCTTCTGAGTTGATTGGCCTTATTGTCATCTTCTTTCTTCTCTAGGGGCAAGTCGGGGATGAAGGAGGAGGAAGACAACCTGACTTCAATGAAAGTGCGCTGAATTTCCTGGCTGGTCTGCTCTTGCCGAGCAGGGGGATAAATAAAGCAGGAGGACTCTTTTTTAAAAAGCCCTGCATTGTCAGATTTTAATGGCTTCATTTCCAATCCGTCGTAATTCGAACTCATCCCCTTGTTTTCGGTTTTATCATTCGGACAATCAACCTTGGGTGTGGCTTCAGAAGGCTTATTTGACTTAGAAGGGCCGTCTCTTGGCTCCGTGCTAGCCCTCCCCCTTTTTTCGCTGTTCGTAACTTCCCACTTGGTGACCGGTGCTTCTTTTTCCATTTTAGGAGATCCAGCCCTGCCCAGTTTTGTTTTGATGATGGATTTATCTTTATTTTTCATAACGTTGCTTTCGCCATTCAACACGGGCAGAGTGGCTGCCTGAGACTCAGACTGTCTGAGCAAAGAAGACTGAACTTCCTCCTGCTGCTGAAATATCTTAGAACCCATGGAGAGGCTCCTGCTGGGTGGTTCCAGATGTGTGGCTAAATTATGGAGTGAGGAACCTTTCTTTGAAAGGAGCCTGGGTGAACCTTGGGCAGGGAGGGTGATCTTTTTTTGATCGGTGCCCTCAGCTTTGGCAGGAGCAGTGCCAAGAGCATCAGAATGAGCCTTGGATTTATTTTTAATATTGGGAGCCTTTCCTTTAGGCCCTGCTTTGTTTTGTTGATTATTTGAAAGAGTTTCCACCGTACTCTTTGGTGGTGGAGCGCCTTTAGTTTCATGATGCAATTTAGGGGAAGAAGAGGGACTGTATGTAATACCAAAGCCCTTGCATTGCCCAGAATTCAGAGTTTTGGTATTTGAAGGTTTCGAGATAACAGCGTTTGCTTTTTCATTTTTTCCTAGTAAATTGTGAGCAGAAGAGACCTTGCCCAGATGTTTTGGTTTGGACAAAAGGGGAGATTTAGGGCTGTTTACTATTTTTTGTATTGCACTCTTCATAGTATAGCTGTCTGTTCTTCTTAACTGGGATGGATCACTGGTTCCTTTCCCTGTCACAGCAGAAGGACTACCAATTACGTTACTTCCACAATCCATCACTAAATCATTTTCTACCTGCAGCTCTTGGGTTTTCCCCAGTTCATGTTGGCCTAGCATGTTGCCATCCCAGCTATTGATATTTTCTGTCGGATAAGAATGTATATCTGGTGCAGGATATTTACATATTTCCATTAGATTTTCTTGTTTCTGCAGGCCATTTCCTCCTTCATCCCTTGAACAACCATTCTCAATGGAAGAGCAGACTGGCCTGCCTTGAGCCAAACTGTCTACAGCTTGTGAAGAAACATCTGGAGAAGATTGAAAAGCTGTTGGTGGAACCATATGTTCTGCACTGGAGTTTTCCGATAAGTGCGATTTTTCGAATGTAAATTTTCCATCTGATGTTTCCAGTGAATCTATTTCTGTTTTGCTTTCTGCCTGCAAACAGTTGTTCAAAGAATGGTAAATTGGTGGACGATGAGATGGTTTTATGGGAGGCTGTTTTTGAAGACAATGTTGGTCGTAATTCAGACTGCAAATTTCTATTTGCTCCTCATCTGATTCAACTAGTTTATGGGTTGCCAAGGGATGATCACAAACTGATAGTAAGAGGGATGAACTGTCTCCAGGATTCTCGGCTAAGGATTCTGTGTCTGAACTGGAATCTTCTGCAGCAGCGTACATAGATTTTGGAATAGTGTTGCTCTTAGTTTCAATTTCAGGCAAATGGTCATCATTAAGGCTGCTAAAATTCCTTGAATAGGTACTGAGACAGCTTTGGTTTACAGTTAAAATTTTCTTTGCGTTAATGGAATCCAGGACAGAAAAACCCAAGGCCTCTTGTGTATTAGTAACAGAATTCGCAGCTCTTTCTACAAGATCATTTTTCATTACGTTTGATACAGAATTTGGCTGAGCTTCTTCTGCCATCCCAAAACTATTTTCCTTGGTATGTCTGTCCTTGATTAATAAACAGTCACCATCTTTTTCTTCTGGGGAATTTCTTTTGCCAGAGAAGTCATCCATCTCTTCTAATAGCACCACAGAAGGGTCTTGAATAGAGTGAATTTCTGAGGGATCTACTGGTATTGCTTTAGTATTAGCGTCAGATACCAATCCTATCCTTTCCGCCATGCAATCCAGAGGAGATTCCAAAGATTCTTTCTCATACGCAAAGCTGTTTTCTTCTTTGATCATAACAACATCGCTTGATTCTTTCGGAACCGCCTCGTCTGCCTCTGAAGACACAAAAGAGATTTGTAAATCTGTTAAAAAGGCTGCATAAAGAATCAATGAAATAATTCCATCCTCTTAATTACACTGTTATTAAAACTTTACATCAGCTTGTAATTTTAGAGGTTCATCTGGATTCAGCGATGATTCAGATGTTGGAAAGTTGAGTTTTATTAATGATCTACTTATCGCCATCTTTCCAGATACAATTCAGCATGCTGGTTAGGACCTTTAAAACTTTCTTTAAAAAATATATATATATATTCATTTCTTATTAAAATATTGGACATAGTGCCACCATCCTGGCATTATCTCTGCCACACACACTAAAATATAAAACAAATATTGTATATACTCTTCATACTTACTAATTATATATAATTATTCTGCCCAATGTACTCATTTATATTTACATATATTATATCACATTTTGGGTCTACAAATCCTGATTATTTCCTGTTCCAACCACCACCTCTCTGTTCCAACCGTTGGTAAAATCTATTCCATATATCATGATATTCTGTCTCTCCTTTATTTTTTAATTCTAACGTCAATTTATCCATTTCTGCGCAAACCGATATTTTCTTTATTATCTCCCTTTCTAAAGGTATATTTTAATTTTTCCATTGTTGGGCGTATACCATTCTCACTGCCGTTATGATGTGTACTATTAAATATGTTGACCCTTTACTATGGGCCTCTGTTATAATTCCTAATAATAATAATTCTGGTTTAAATTCTACTCTTTGTCCAACCATTTTTTCTAACCACATCTGAATCCGTCACTAACATTCTTTTGCTTTTTTGCATGCCCACCTCATGTGGTAATTCATGCCTGGTACCGCCTCTTTCAGGACCTTTAAAACTTTCATGTTCTGGCCTACATGTGGGTAGTCCTTGATTTATAACCATTCGCTTAGCTGCTCAAAGTTACAATGGCACTAAAAAAAAGTGTCTTACATCACACTTATGATGTTGCAGCACCCCCACCGTCATATGATAAACGTTTGGGTGCTTGGCAACTGGCATTTATTCAGTTGCACCATCCTGGGGTCCTGGGATTTCATTTGTGATCTTCCCAGCTAGCTTCTGACAAGTTAAGTCAATGGGGGAAATTGGATTTGCTTAACAATTGTGTGATTCATTTAATAAACTGTTTTACGTAACAACATAAATTCTGATCCAAATGTGGTCATAAGTCGAGGGCCACCTGAATAGTCAACCAGTAAGACAGGTAAGAGAGGTTTCGTTATGAATCCTTCCTCCCCTGAAGCATCTTAAAATCCATACACAAACCATCTCAGAAACTATTCCCTACTACTTTTTCATCTGGGACTCTTTAGCCCAAATTTTCTCAGTTGGGAGACTTTTCTTTTTATGGTTTTTTTTAGTGGATTTTAATATTTGGTAGATTTCAATTTTTCAGTAAATATTTTCTTTGTATATATTGAATCCTCCTCTTGGTTTTCAATTATTTCTAAGAAAAAAAAAAGTAGAATACACATATTTCAAATATAGCAAATCTCTCCCAGAATTTAAGGATATTAATTATCCTAGCAGTGAGAATGCATTTTGGTTGCATCTAGATTTTACTGTCTGCAAAAGGAAGTGCTACTTTCATCCACATACATCTGCCCATTGACCATAGAACAGGAAAAAAAAAGAGAGAAAATCTTACGCAAAACTGCTTTCTGGATATCCAGGGTAATGGATGTGGGAAGGCTTCTTACATATTGACAAGCTTCTTCATAAGAGAATCCATAGATGGGGATAGCATTGATAGAAAGGATCTCATCTCTTGGAAACAGCCTTCCCATGGATGCCTGTTGAGAATGCATTTATTAAAACAGTACTGTCAGAGTCTCACAATTTTAGGATGTGGAATAACATGAAGGTGAAGCTCAATTGCTTCACCAGGAAAGGGGAATGGATTCTATATTCAAGGTCCTTCCGGCAAGAGCACAGAGCGTTTTTGTCATTCTCTGAACCAGAGGAACCACTGACTCCTTAACCTGGCAAAAGTCTAAGAAGGCAAAATCAAGAGGAGCAGGGGTGAAATCCTAACGGTTCGGACTGGTTCGGGCGAACGGTAGTGATGATTGGTATCGGTTCACCAAACCAGTAGCAATCATCCCTTGTGGTCCACGCCCATCCACCCGGTCGCCCGCTCAAAAGGCGCGCTGAGGACACCTTGCCTGCTGCCTCTGTGCACTGCACTTGGAAGGGGCTGCCGCTCTCACCACCCTCCCTCCCTGCCTGGCTACAGACATCCGCCTGCCTTCCTGGAGCACTGCTGTGGGACCGCCATTCGCTTTCTTCCTTCTCCCACTGCAAAATGAAAGCAAACTGTGGTGGAGGTGCTTCAGAAGGGTAGGCGGACATATTCATTATACTTGTCAGCTGCAGACATCCGCCTGCCCTCCCGAAGCACCACTGCGGCGAACAAAACAACCCCATCTGGGGAGGCTGAGGACATACAGGCCATTCTCTGCAACATTTTGTCAGGTCTTCTCAAATATTCTCTAATGTCTCACATTTTACCCATGGAGTAAAACTCATTCTTGTAATGCAAACAAGTGAATGGCCTTTACACCCAAACATAGTTGTTGGATTTTATGCAGTGTAATATTTAAGCACTGTACTGTACCATAATCCAAATACTGTATATATACTGTAATATAATCCAAATAATAGTAACTGCCTTGCTGAATCAGATTACAGCCAAAGGAGCTCAGATAAAGAAACGGGATTTTCCTATTTGTTCCCATTGCAGAAATTCCTTTCTGAAGCCATCACAGATACTTCAACATCATCTATGCTGTCGCTAATAGAAATATTTTGACTTGACAAATTAAACTTGGCTTCCCAAAAGATGCTCATTTTGAAATAATCTGAAAATGGAGCCTGGATAGCTCAACAGACTAAAAGCCTGTTATTAAACATTCAGCTGTCTGCAATTATTGCAAGTTCGAATCTCCCCAGGCTCAAGGTTGACTCAGCCTTCCATCCTTTCTAAGGTAGGTGAAATGAGGACCCAGATTGTGGGGGCAATAGCTGACTTTGTATAAATATACAAAAGTATAAAGGCTATTGCTTAACGCATTGTAAGCCGCCCTGAGTCTCCGGAGAAGGGCAGCATATAAATCTAATTAAATAAATAACAAAAATCCCTGAATGGCAGTATAGTTGTTCTTTCTTGTCAACAAGCTGCATACCTTTAAAAACGTAATACCTTCCGTTTCTAAATGAGTTAAGTTTTTGTAAAGTGAGCAATATTTACTAATGAAATGAACAATCTGGTTCCTTTCACAAAAGTGTGATCTCCTTGCCCTGAGAATTTTAAGATGGTAGGGAGGGGAAGGAGGGCTCAATCAATTCATTAAGTGCCTATTTGACAAGGATTATAGTAGAAACATGAGGCAAGACTCAAAAAAATCATATTTCTTCTGAGGTTACTATGTTCATTTCTTGCATGATGTCACGTTCCCTCTGAACTGAAATTCTATTAGGGATCATAAAGAGAAAGACATTTATTTTTTACCCTTTCAGCTGCTCCACCTGGTTGCAAGCCTGTTATGACGATGCGCAAAGGATTGGCATGAATTTCGAGATCCAGGCCAAAGGACTCGTTTTCATTCCGAGATAAAGTAATGGATTCCACAAGGCTCTGCTCCAGGGGAATCTCCTGAGCTTCATTCTTCTGGATGGATGGAAGGGCCTTCCCACTGCCTCTGCTGCAGGCACCATGCTCCTCGTTCTTGGGCCTTGGGACTCTGTGGTATTCAATACTCATCAGGCTTTTTACTCGGGTGACTGCTTTATGTTCCAATTTAGGAGACCTCTTAGTTTCTAGTGGTTCTTCCCGAAAGTCCTTCACATTCAAGTAGCCTGGATGAAGTTCTGGAAGATGATGAAGTTCTTTAGCTGGAAGAAAAGGGGTGTCTGGTGCATGCTCCCCTATGCTCTCTGTCAGATTCCTAGAGCTGGTAGCAGCTAAGTCACTGCAGGTATTTGTCGCAGATTCCCTCTCTTGGCTGGTATCTCCATTTTGCGCAGAAGGAGCCGCAGGGGAAATATTACAGTCATTGTTTCCTTTCCTTTGACCTTTCGACCTCGACCCTCTTTGGAATGAGTCTCCATCTTGTTTGGCAAAGTCATCCTCATCACTCACGTCTCCATCATAAAAAGCAATCCTTCTCTGCCGTTGGAAAGCAGACGGGGCCCCTTTGGGGCTGTCGCTGAAACTAACGTGCCGAGCAGCTGTCTCCCTTGGCTTGCTGAGAGGACCGGGCGAGCTATTGCCAGTAGCCGGTGAACTGCACAGACTGGATTCTTTGGTAGCTAAGAATAAACACATGGTATATAATTTGGCAATATTATCTTAGAACGTAATGACCTGACCTATTGCTATTTTCCATATATACCTCTCTGTTCTTACTATTCTCTCCTAAACAGCAATAAAAATGACTTTGTAAAAAGAAAAAAGAAAACCAGAGGGGAAGGCATCTTTTTAGCAGTAGTAATTGTACTCAAAGGGACGTGGTAGTTCAGTGGCTAAGACGCTGAGCTTGTCGATCGAAAGGTCGGCAGTACAGTGGTTCGAATCCCTAGTGCCACATAACGGGGGTGAGCTCCTGTTACTTGTCCCAGCTTCTGCCAACCTAGCAGTTCGAAAGCACGTAAAAAATGCAAGTAGAAAAATAGGGACCACCTTTGGTGGGAAGGTAACAGCGTTTTGTGAGCCTTTGGTGTTTAGTCATGTCGGCCACATGACCACGGAGACATGTTCGGACAGCGCTGGCTCTTTGGCTTCGGATGAGCACTGCCCCCTAGAGTCGGGAATGACTAGCACATATGTGCAAGGGGAATCTTTACCTTTAACTGTACTCAAGGCCTCAAAACAGGCAACCCCATTCAATTGTATGGTTCTATTTAAGGAGACAGTTCCATCTACCTTCTCAGGTAGATATTCTTGGGGACTAGGGTAAAACACATTATAATTTGTATGACATTATTTTGATTTTATGCACCGCTTTGTGAGTACCTGCCTTCAAGTAGGTGTTGAAATTTCTTTAGTTTTCTTTTTTGGAGGTGATTTGTCCTTGCCTTCTTCCTAGAGTAGAGAGAAAGGGACTGGCCCTAGGTCACCCAGCTGGCTTTGTGCTTAAGGCAGGACTAGAACTCATAAGTCTCCTGGTTTTGAGCCTAGTGCCTTAACCCAGGGGTCTCCAACCTTGGCAACTTTAGGACTTGTGGACTTCAACACCCAGAATTCCTCAGCCAGCAAAGCTGTCTCTAACCCCCACCCTCTCTTGTTCTGTTTCTCTCTATATAATAGCTTTTATTCATTTTTATTTGCATGCATTTTCACTGAGTTATTTATACATATGCTTCACGCTGCTGCTGGTTTTTTTTTTTTTTTTTAAATCTTGCAAATAATTCTGCAATCCACTCAGCAAATTCTAGTTACTGGGCAGATTAAGGCTAGGAAGCTACAGAGCAGGGATGGGGGAACGATGGTCCCTTTTATGATTTGTGGACTTCAACTTCCAGGATTCCTGAACCAGCATGGCTGGCTCAGGAATTCTGGGAGTTGAAGTCCACAAGTCATAAAGGGGGCCATCGTTCCCCACCTCTTCTATAGAGTGATATATTATTGCATTCTATGCAATAGAGAAGGACAATAAACTTGGAAGTATCACCATGCCTCCTGCAGCCTACCTGGAATGCCAGCAGAAAGAAAACTCTCTTCTAGAGAACTGCTCCTACTCTTGGGTCGAAACTGCTCTTCATCGCTGGATCCAGTCACGGTAGTCTCTGAGAGAGACAATTGGCTCGCCCCATCTTGTAAGAAGTATTGGGAAAGCTCTGTTTCAGAATTGAGGGAACTCTGCTGAAATAAATACAGAAAAAGAAAATGGGATGTGGCAGCAATCATCAGTCCCCAAGACTAACGGACCCCAAACTTTCTGGCTTGGCAGCTCAGCAGGGGGGAGGGGGGAAAGAGGGGATGGTTTTGTGTGAGTGGCAGGGTATTCACAGCTCCATTTACACGAGAGTGGAGCTTTGCGTGTGTGCACATGTGCCTGCTGCTTGCATAAGTGGACCTAACTTGCATGGCTGGCTCTGAACAGGCCTTAGCCCAGTAGTGGGATGCAGCCTGGGAGTTTGGAGACCCCTGCCCAAGACAGAAGATCATCCATGCTAAAAGTTCTGCTCTCTTCCTGTTGTTTTTCTTTCTCAAATGTTTCGTTCCTTTAGATCAGGGGTGTCAAACTCAAGGCAAGTGGGCCAGATCCGGCCTGCGGGGTGGTTGGAAATATCCAAGGACAGCCCGCGGGTGCCTCCGGTGGCTCAAACGGGCCACATGCAGGCCCCCGTATCTCGTTTTCACCCTCCATGGCCTCCTACAGCATTCTGCCGGCCAAAAACGGGCTGAAAAATGGGACAAAAACGGGCAGAAAACGGGCCAAACTCTGGCTCAAAAACAGGCCAAAAATGGGCCATAAATGGGCCACTTAACCTATTCTCAGCCAGCAGAATGCTGCAGGAGGCCATGGAGGGCGAAAATGAGTCCCGCCCTATTTTGGCCAGCAGGTGCTGCAGGAGGCATCCATCCCCCCCTGCTCCCCCCCCCACTGCCCCACGGAGAACTAGAATGCTGATCCGGCCCTCGAAGAAATCCAGTTTGAAACCCCTGCTTTAGATCAGTATTTCTCAACCTTGGCAATTTTAAGATGCAGGAACTACAGCTCCCAGAATTCCTCTGGATCTGTAGTTCATTCCATGCTGGCTAGGGAATTCTGGGAAGTGACACCCACACATCTTAAAGTTTGCCAAGATTCAGAAACACCGATTTAAGATTCCGCCACTCTTTTTTACTACCATTTGATTCGTTTTCCAAATTTTTCAATTGCCTTTAACATACTATTGAATGCTGCTAGGATTATATATATATATATATATATATATATATATATATATATTTAGTCCTGGACATTGGCTAATTGTCCCAGGAAAAAGGAGACTCGCTCTAATTAGCAGCATGAAACAAAGAAAAGACTGGAAACCAAAATGAAGAACGATTGCTCCTTAATGTGGAAAAGTCTGGCTTCTCAACTGAATTCAACGCTTTGTCAGCCTTCTCCCTGAACACATGAAGGCTTTAAAAAAAAAAAAAAAATGAGGGCAGAGAGCAAGAATGAAAACGCAGGCTCTACAATCTCTGTTTCTGACCCTGATACATTTTGCAGAAAAGGACCTTGTGCATTTGCTGGAACGTGCCCAGAAACTTTTAAGACAGACAAGATGACCTTCAGGGACTTTACTATTTGATGTATTGAAGCTACGAATAGGAAGAGGGACTCGGTTCTGTCATGCATGGGAACTTCCTGGCAGGTGTTGTGTTCCTATGTGTGCTTTTCTCTTGTGAGAGCATAACCTCTGCAAGAGTCTTTTGACAAAAGAAATCCCTGGTGGGACAATACAACCAATGAGAAAAGCCACCCTCCCCCATATCTGTTCCCCTGCTTCTCCCCTCCCTACTCTTAGCTACAAGACAAGAAACAGAAGAATTACCGGACCTTCTTTGCCTTGAAGGACGCCCATGGATGTTATGTGTGTGTATGCAAGGAAGTCCCAACTTTTTCTAAGCCACAGAAACTCCCCCTGCTTTAAAGTTTTGTGGTGGAATCTCAATAGGTTTTACCCGACTCGCTGGCTCCAAGAAACGCTTCATTGTCCAGCTCAAGGGTGAGGAGGCGTCTGTCTGTTTAGACTTCACACTTGGAGATGGACTTTTTGGCAGGTTTCCTGTTAAAAAACAATTGGGTTCGACAGAAAAAACGTTAGCTTGTGAAGTAACACGTCTACAGGCTTTCCGCATTTGACTTTACTCGGGAGGGAAGGCTGGCTTCTTATTGTCTTTCTAGAAATGACCGCACAATTAAGAGTTGTTAGCGTAATCTTGAGAAGCTTCTTCTCTGGTAATATTGCACTGAAAACTAGGGCATACAAAACCTTTGCTAGACCAATTCTCGAATACAGCTCATCTGCCTGGAACCCGCATTGTATATTGGACATTAATACAATTGAGCGAGTCCAGAGGTATTTCACGAGAAAAGTCCTCCATTCCTCTGCTCACAACAGAATACCTTATGCCACCAGGCTTGAAATTTTGGGATTAGACAATTTAGAATTACCCTGCCTTCGGTCTGACCTAAGCGTAGTACACAAAATTATCTGCTACAACGTCCTACCTGTCAATGACTACCTCAGCTTCAACTGCAGCAATACACGAGCACACAATAGATACAAATTTAAGGTAAACCACTCCAAACTCAATTGCAGAAAATACGACTTCAGCAACAGAGTGGTCAATGCCTGGAATGCACTACCTGACTCTGTGGTTTCTTCCCCAAACCCCCAAAACTTTAACCTTAGACTGTCTACTGTTGACCTCACCCCATTCCTAAGAGGTCTGTAAGGGGCGTGCATAAGCACACCAACGTGCCTACCGTCCCTGTCCTACTGTCCCCATTTATTCGTATCCTTATCCTGTGTTCATAATCATGTTTATACTTATATCTGTTATCTTATACGTGTTTGACAAATAAATAAATAAAATAATGAATAAAAAATGAAACAATTCACATCGCTCGTTGACTTGCAGAGACTCAAAGGTGTTCTTTTTTTTCAAGAGGCAACTGGACTTTCTGGTTTTTCTTTGAAGACATTTAGCTTCTCATCCAAGAAGCTTCTTCAACTGACATTTGACTTGCAGAGAATAGCACACAGATCACAGCTAGCACAGCATGAGTTTTGGGGCTGTTCGAACCCAAAGGAAAACTAGGCCCCTTTGAATTCTAACTCTACCCGAGTGTATTTCAGTGTTGGATCAGTTCTTCCAAAGAGTCTAATGATGCTGGCTAGCCAAGAAAGTTTTCTCCTCCAGGACAGCCACCGTCAACAGAGCCAACAGCGCAGAACAAAGGGAAGCCAGAGCTAAAGAGACAGATGAGACATTCCTTTTCTCTGTTTCCTATTGCTGCACTGACCACATCTTTCCCCTCTTGGCAGTAAGAACAGAAAGAGACAATATTGGCCATGAAAAACTGGAGTACTCCAGCTACTGTCAGCTAGCCAGCTCTGTTGCTGTACCAGCGAACTACTCTTTGATGAGTCCAAACTGAGCAGGCCTCTCAATTGTGCAGCATAAAAAGTATCATAAAAATGCAGCATAAAAAGAAACGAATATGCTTTCTATTAAGTTTGGAGGAAAATTCCTTTTTGCAGGAGCAGGAGGAAGAGGAGGAGAAGCAGAAGCAGGAGGAGGAGGAGAAGGAGAAGGAGAAAGAGAAGGAGAAGGAGGAGAAGGAGAAGGAGAAGGAGAAGGAGAAGGAGAAGGAGAAGGAGAAGGAGAAGGAGAAGGAGAAGGAGAAGGAGAAGGAGAATCCACCATGAGTCATATTGAGCCAATCTAATTTTAGGAGACTTTGATCCACCGTGACAGGATCTTCATATTAACAAATAGGAGTATTGCCCTAATTCATGGATGCTCAATCTAAAATGTCAGGGTTACATGCAGCCTCCATCATCAGTCGTTCATCTTCATGTGACAATTTTTCATTTTTAATGTGACTAAAAAGGGGAAGCTACTGGAATCCATGTGGAATTATCGTGTTAACTGGATTTATTTATTTTTTTATTTTGTTATCCCTATCAACCAAGAGAAATTCAAATATATGCAAGAGAAATAAAAGATCTGCAAACCTCGGAATTGACGAGCAGAGCAATAAAGAAAAAGTAGGGGTGGAAATTATGTTATAAAGAAGCCTTCCAGAATTTGTAGCCATATGTAATGTCAGTTAAATCAGATTTAGTTTTGTCCCTATTCACTTCCTCATCAGTTAAAGGGCAACTCTGCTCTCAGCCTGGACAAAGTTATATATCCCCTAACTAGTTCATCATTCTTTGCTGAATACTGATATGCGAATTGCTTTCTATTTTTTGATGAAAAAAGTTGGCACTAAACATTTGTGGACTAATAAATTAGTTCACCTTTTCAGCAAAGATGAAGCTGTTTATAATATAATAACATATGGAAAAGGTGGTCGCTAGGTTTTTAAAACAACCTCCTGTTGTTTTAGAGAATTAAGAGTAAATAAGAGCCAATTTTACAAGCTGTTGTGCTAAGGCAGGACCGTCTTAACAGCATTATGGGCCCCAGGCAAAGCAGTGTACTGGGGCCCCTACAACTACTCACAGGAATAAAAATGTAAATGGTTGATAAAATAAAACATATATTTATTTTATTGGCACTTCCAACAAATAAATATGTAATAAATTTGTTGTTGTATTTATATGATACAAGGTGCATTGAAGGGTTAATATGGGGCCCCTATGCTTGTGGGGCTCCCGGGCAAGTGCCCATCAGGCCGATGCGTTAAGACAGCCCTGTGCTAAGGTAGAATTTAAGAGATCCAGAAGCTGCAGTTACAGTTACAACTGATCCCTGAAAATTTTCTTTTTTGCAGTGTGTGTGCGTGTGCGTGTGCGTGTGTGTGTGTGTGTGTGTGTGAGAGAGAGAGAGAGAGAGAGAGAGAGAGAGACAGGGAGGAAGGGAGAGAGAGGGGGAGAGGGAGGGAGGGAGGGAGAGAGGGGAGGAAGTAAAGAAATAGCTTCAGTGGAACGGTTTGCCTCCTGGAGTTGTGGGTGCTTCATTGCTGGAAGTCTTCAAGAAAAGATTGGGCAGCCATTTGTCCGAGATGGCGACCTCCAAGGTCCGTTCCAGCCCTATGATTCTATGATTGCATAGCTATGGCTGCCATCTCCATTTTTTTGCTCCCCCACCAGATATTTCTGCTTATTTGTCCAATTAATTGAAAAACAAGATATTCTTTTGCACAAAACGTGCGCAGAACAAACTTTCTAGAGATGTATCTATACTGTAAATCAAGAGTCAAATCTGATGCGATTTTAGAAACAGATGCATACCCGAGGAATGAGGAGAAGAGACGTCCCTGTTTTCTCGATGGGTGGTTCGTGTTATGGCTTCATCCATCTCCTGTTCAGAAACCTATTATTAAATTTGGGGGGAAAAAAGGATCTAAAGGTATATTCAGGAAATAACAAAATGTATTACTTCAAAGTTCATGTACAGTCTTTTAACATGGAAAATAGAAATCTTGAAAGTGCTGATGTAGGCTGTGTAACATGGATTTTTCTTTTTTTTCTTTTTTTCCCCCTTTTTTCTTTTCTTTTCGTGATTTTGAAGTAAAGCTTCCCACTAATCACATTTTGAAATCTAGCACTGCATGGAGTGGCATCGGGAGCCAAAAAAAGCCCCTCTCTGAACTAGAAGACAAAAATGAACCCACCAAAAAACATCTTGGCCATCAAACATGTAGCAGCTCTGAGAACAATTCGTTCTGTAAACCATTTACTCATTTTGATGTTATTAATTGTATGGCCTTTGTTTTTCAATTAGAATGGGATGGCGGCACCACTAGTAGACATAAAGAATGCCTCTATAAGACATTCTGTTAAGGCTAGACACCAACGTGATGGTACATAATCAAATTAATCAATGGCCCTTGTTTGTTGTTATTGTCTACATGTTCTGAGGGTTGGATTTAATTACGGCCCCCATTTGAATAATGATGTACAAACTGTGGTATGTACCAGTTCTTTTATCCCTGTGCCATTTTCTAAATTTGCACAGCTGGGGGTGCAGCAAAGGTCCACGTTTTAGCAGTACAGTATTCACATCTTTTTACATGTAGAAATTTAAATGTAATAGGTTGAACTTTTCCTGGATAGCATGCTTTTATTTTGCCTTGGCTCCCCAGCATCAAAATATCAAAACAGAATAACAAAGTTAGAAGGGACTGTAGGAAGAAATATCCTTCTGGGTTCAGCTCCAAGTGGGGAAAAAGACACTGGAAACATGGAGACTGCTTGGAAAGATGGTTTAATGGTGGACAGGATCAAATGGCTTGAGTTCCTGAACAGAAAAGGGCAGATACAGCGAGTCTCCAGGTTTTATGCTCTTTCTGGCTTTGAACTTCTTGGAGCCCAGAAAGAGTATCCTGATTGGTTGTCAGACTTCCAGGGGGTGGGGGTCTTAGCTAGCTTGCTGGCTGATGTAATCTTCCCAGGTGCCATGTGGTGAGTTTCTGTCCTATAGATGGGTCCCATTGTCTTGCAGATGAGGTCCATTGACAAAGATTGAGTTTCTGCCTCTGGCCCATTAACAAAAGGTGGGGGGCAGGAAGGTGGGAGCTGCTTTGTCTTTAAAACATGCTTCTCCATTTCTCAACCAGGGGAACATAATATTCTGCCTTTTTAATATTTCCCAAAATATTTCATTCTTCTAGGAAAGGGGTAGATGCTAACTTCCTACAGGACCTTGGAGGTCTTGGACTAGAAGACCAAGGTCCCTTCCAACTCTCTTATTCTATTCTATCACTCCATGCCACTCCCCCAACCATCTCCCAAAAACATCACATATCTTTTCTTGCATGTGTCTCCTAGATGCACAAAGATTGCCATCAAAACAGAGGCTGCTAATGGATCTTTCTCCTGCAGCCCCTTGCTCTCTCCCTCCCCAGATCTTCTCCAGGGAGTTAGTAGGCCTGGATCCTTGAGGAGGAAGGCGAGGAAGTAAATTCCCAGTAGAGAAAAGCAAGCACATCTGCATAATGTGGAACTTTGTAAAACTGTAGTAGAATTTGTGTATTTTTCAAAAAGGAAAGATCGTGAAAAATGGCTAAAGAATCTGGAGGTGTACAACCCACAGAAAAAATTATTGAGGAGGGAATTGCAGAATCTGATGCATAGTTGTATCAGAATATGATATCACAATGCAGATACAAAAGAGGAGGAGCTTGCATCACAATGGTGCAACACTGCTTTTGTCATTTGCACCCCCACCCTGGCTTCTTTGCAGACTCCTCTAGTTTTCTAATGTCTGAAAGTTTTCAAAGAGAAGAAATAATGAATTTAATGTTGAATTCTCCAGAAGGCAGAGCCTAACCCAATAGGTTACAATTATAAGGAAAGGGTATATATACGTCAAGGAGAATTTTCTGGCTCTATGAGCTGCCAATAGAATATAGATTATAGTATGCCCGCCTTTGCTGGAAGTAACAGAATAACACAGTTGGAAGGGACCTTGGAGATCTTCTAGTCCAATCCCCTGCTCTGGCAGGAAACCCTGTACCATTTCAGACAAATGGTTGTCCAATTTCTTCTTAAACACTTCCAGTGTTGGAGCATTCGCAACTTCTGGAGGCAAGTCATTCCACTGATTAATTGTTCTAACTGTCAGGAAATTTCACTTTAGTTCTTGGTTGGTTCTCTCCCTAGATGGTAATTGTCTCCAAGTCAGAATGAAATTCGTGTGTATATATAAAATTCCATTTTTAGAGATCTTCTAATGGATTCTGCCAGTGGTGAAATCTAAAATTTGTTACTACTGGTTCTGTGGGCTTGGGGGGGGGGGGGTTAATGTGACTGGGTGGGCGTGGCCATTTTTAAAAAACTTTTAAAACCATTTTTTCTTCAGCGAAGAGGTTGTAAAAAAATGCTTTCAAAAGGCTCTGACGATCCCAGCTGAGTTGCCTGATCGTCAGAGGCTTTTTTTCTTTTAAATGCCTCTGCCTTTCAGGCAACTCAGCTTGGATCGTCAGACATCGTCTTGGATCGTCAGCTTGGATCGTCAAACTCAGCTTGACGATCCAAGATGAGCTGCCAATCAGGCAACTCAGCTTGGATCGTCAGAGGCATTTAAAAGAAAAAAAGCCTCTGATGATCGTGTGGCTCAGCTGGGCATGGGGGGGGGGAGGGATTTTTGCTACCGGTTCTCCGAATCACCCACCTCCATCGCTACCGGATCAGGCGATCCGGTCCAAACCGGGAGCATTTCACCCCTGGATTCTACGCTAAGAAGAGAATTAGGTTAGTGCCGTGATGGCGAATCTATAGCACACATTCCGGAACTGGCACTCAGAGCCATCTCTCTGGGCACAACAGCTGTCGCCCGTTGATCTTACAGGTTCCAGTGCACCAGCCAGCTGGTCTTCACGCGTGGAAGCACCAGAAACTAGAAGAGCAGGTACCCAGTGTGCATGCGCACACCGGGAAGATGATCTTCCGGTTTCCGGAACACGCATGTGCACCGGCCGGCTGGTCTTCGCACATGCATATGTGCCAAAAACCGGAAGACCACGTGGCTGGTGTGCATGCACGTTCCGGAAACCAGAAGATGATCTTCTCGGCGCGCACATGCACACCTGGCAGCTGCACTTCCGGTTTCTAGCATACACGCGTGCGCTCTCATTTTGGCACTCGGTGCCAAAAAGGTTCACCAGCACTGGGTTAGTGGATTCCTAAAATATCTTACAAATCTATGGAATTCTTATTGAATTTATCTGCAAAGATCACATTTATTGTTATAGTTTCCTTTTCCTTGCCCAGCTACTTTAAAAAAATGGAGGTGGGATACTTTAGCCTCCAACAAACCATCCGCAGCATTTTGATTTAAAGGTGGCAACTGCAAAGGAAAGGGTTGTATATGTAGTACCAGTCCTTTTTGTTTGACTTTGGTGTAACTCAAAACTCAAGGCACACTCCTGTAACTGAAAGGAACTGTATTCATTCCAAAGCAAACTTAGTAGCTTAAATCAGCTTTCAGCACCACATTTACTCAAAAAACAAAGAAAGACAAATATATTCTGTGGCATTGGTTTTGGAAATACTTAAAAAAGAAGAACACCAGGTAATTTGGGAACAAAAACAATTCTGTCTGATGGAATGCAGATTAGCCATAAAAATATGTATATTTAAAGAAAGGGAGTTTGTGTCCATGAAATTGTCTATAAAATGAAATAGAAGAGGGTAAGAACAACACGCCAAATTTAATAAAGGAACAACGAAGAGATAGAATTTTATATATACAAACTAGAACAACTACAAAGTGCAAAATAGTAAAAAATAATCTCTATGAAAAATAGGGCAAATTAAAAACATTCAAATCTTTACTTATTAGCAGGACGTGCTTTGGAAATCAGCCTGACATAAATTTCTTTTGAAAATTCCTTTAAAGGTATGAAGAAAGGCCCAGGCACCCCTCAATTAATGTGTGATCTTTGTATTTAGTTGTTTTTTTAAAAAAATATGTGCTTATATTAAAAAGTGCAGGACAATATCTATTTTTCTTATGATCTTCTATAGAAAAAAGTATCTTCATGTTCTACTGTAAAACATCAAAGATTACAAATCCTTGAACAGAATGAGCCATAGAAATCAGGGGTCTCCAACATTGGTAACTTTAAGCCTTTTGGACTTCAACTCAGACAACAAAGCTGGCTGAGGAATTCTGGGAATTGAAGCCCACAAATCTTAAAGTTGCCAAGGTGGAGACCCCTGATATAAATAGAATGAGGGTGGAGAGAGGCTTCCCTCCCCTGTACTGAATAAATGGGCAATACAACTAAATTAACACGATACTAAATCAGATTTTTTTTTTAATCCAAGTTTTGTTCAACCTGAACAAGCAACAGATGTTTTCTGGAATCTTTGGAAAACGACAGACTATAAAATGAATATAAATGCCAGCAAATTAGCAAATAACCATGATAGGTTCATACTGTACATATGTTTTAGAGTTTCGTGTGAACCCAGCTGTGGAAGATATAACTTTTGATCCACAGAAACCTTGTAAGTCAGCTTTTGTATAAGAATGTAAATATGCAAATACAACTATAGAAAAAGCCTTTTTTAATAATTAATACAGAGGATAGAAATGGACTGTATGAGTCTTAGTCTGAGGTATATAAAGAGTATATAAGTTACCTGCTTCTGCCTTAGGGGACCAGAAAAAATCATAAAATGAGTGGTGTATACAATTTACACAACAAAGAGCAAAAGTGTTAAAAAGTATAAAACAGTAAAGTGGTTACTTCCTGAGATTTTACAGTGATCAGGCCAGTAGTGGGTTCCATTTACCTTCGCTACCGGTTCGGAACTGTGAGTGTGTGTGCGTGCTTGCTTCACTTTTGACGCTTCCGTGCATGCGCAGAACCTTTTGCGCATGCGCAGAGCGTCCATTATGATGTCCGGGCGGGTGGGCGGAGCCTCCCGCCGTTGCCACTACCGGTTTGCCTAAACTGGGCCGAACCGGTAGAAAGCCACCACTGGATCAGGCTGCTTAGGCCCTGAAAATGCCTAATGTGTTTATTTTTAAATTGTGAGAAAAAATTAAAATATATTAACCCAGGCTTTCTAGGTGTCTTGGATGTCAATGATCAACCTCCATTGCCTCAGAGTCTTGAGGAAAAATCAGGTGGAACAATGGCTGATGATTTCATTCTACCAGTCCACGATAGAAAGCGCCCTCACATATTGTGTCACGGTATGGTACGCTGGTTTAACAGCCGCGGACAGGAAAGCATTACAGAGGGTGAGAAGCCCAGCATAAAAAAATCATGGGCTGCCCCCTAACCCCACTGGATGAAATCACCAGGTCCTGCTGTCTCAGCAGAGTGAGGAAAATCCTCAGGGATGATTCACACCCTGGACAGCATTTCTTTATTCTCCTACCATTGGGCAGGAGATATAAAAGTATAGCCAGCCGAACAAATAGGCTGAAAAAAAGCTTTTATCCATGGGCTGACAGACTTTTAAATGCAACATAACACCACAGTCAGGCTAATATGATAGATTTGCAGTGCCAGAGAAATGTGCAACATGTATATACTGGTGTAATATAATAGTGTGTGTGTGTGTGTGTGTGTGTGTGTGTGTGTGTGTGTGTGTGTATTACTATTGGGTTTAGGGATTTCTTTTTACTTACTGATTTATTGAGATGTGTTGTGTTCTTGGGTGGGGTGCACCAAAGGAGCTCATTCAATTTCATTGTACACATGTTGTGCATTGAGAATAAAGGTTTGATTGATTGATTGATTGATTGATTGATTGATTGATTGATTGATTGATTGACAACCCCAGCCACTGTGGGTTTTGGCCATGCTAGCAGAGTGTTAAGGGGGTTGATCCATTCAGGCGTGTACCAAATTGGGCAATCCTGCACTAATTTGTAATATCCACTCTGCTGTTTTTTTAAAACTCGGGTCATAAGGCACTTTGCTAAGAAACAAGTCTGTGAACTGGAATTGTTAGGAATTCAGCTAAAGATGCATAAGTGTCTTTTTGTTCTAATATACCTTTTCACACATAAAACCACTGTGCAAGGCTCAGGGGGAAAATGCTGCAGAGAAAAACTGAATATCTTCCATTCTGTTTCATACCTTTGGGTTAGGATGTCGGCTAACAATAAGGCTAACCGGGCCGGGTCCACATTCACTCAAGATGGCGTAAGCTTCACTCAGCGCTGCGTGACGCAAACTGACCGAATCTGCTTCCAGGATCTGATCACCACGGCTAAAGAAAGACAGACATCAACTTTAATGGTGCCATTTCATAGACAGGATGTAGGGAAGAGGGAGACATCTCACCACAAAAAGTTCAGACAGAAAACAGTTACAACCTAACTATAAATCCAAAATGCAAAACAGGAAAACATGATTCAACACTAACAACAACAACAAAGAAAAAAATTGTGCACAAAAAAGGGAAAAAATAATCCAAATATCAAATAAATTTAACATTAAATATGAAAAAATCCACCCCAGCAAGATGCTTAAAATAAAATAATAAATAAATTTAAAAAAAAAAAACAATAATAATACCTGATAAATTCTCCTCCCCTTACATAACGGGTCTACAAATAGTTTTAAGCTTTCATCTTTATTTAACAAGAATAATATATTATATAAACAAAGTTCCAGATGAGATCTTTATTTTGACCCAACATCTAATCATAATAAAAATCTCTATATAATAAAAACAAAGTCAACAGGTTAGGCCAAACATTACAACAGTTTTCAAATCCCTCTGATAACTATCTGTTATTGTATTTAACTTGTAGAAAAAGTCCATAAGCAGCTTCCAGTCCCTTATAAAGCTGTCTAGTCCATTGTCTCTAATCAAACCAGTTAATTTCGTGATCTCTGCTAATTCAATCAATTAAAAAAAAAACCAACCAAATTCTAAAGATCTAATCAGAAGCAGAATTCCCCCTTAGATGGGCTTTTCTAACAGCCAGCTAAACTACAAGCCAAAATCCTTTAAAATCGGAGTTGAAACTCTAAAAATTGCATAACTAACTAGGACTCATTGGAGCTGTGAAATTACTTTTCTAGTTGTGAAATACATGGATCTAGTTGCTTCATAGGCTGTTCTGAGCTGTTAAGATCTTGTTTTGATTCTGTCAATGTGAACCTGTCTGAGAGAGCAACCAGCTCCTGCTTCGGGTGGGTTGCTCCCGGTCCGGTCCGGTTCTATAGAACCGGTAGAAATACTGGTGGGAGCTCTGCATACCTGCCACAACATCATTATGGGTGATCTGCACGGTCCCATTGCAAACCAATAGTAAAGGTAAGTAGAACCCACCCCAGGGTGGGTTCCACTTACCTTTACTACTGGTTTGCAACGGGAGTGCGCGCGGTGCTTCTGCACATGTGCAGAAGCTTCTGCGCATGCGCAGAGCATCCATGATGACATCTGAACGGGTGGGCGGAGCCTCCCGCCGCCATTACTACTGGTTCGCACGATCCGGACCGAACGGGTAGCAACCCACCACTGTCCTGCTTCCAAATTAGTTCAGCTCCTCCTTATTTTCCTTTCTCCTTTGGTTCTCTTTTAACTCTATTTAATTTCTCAACCTTTATGTAGATAATAAAGACTTGAATCTGACCTGAATTAATGAATCTGACCTGAAGTGATACATATCTAGTCTAAAATCCTTCAGCAGTTAAGTAACCGACTTATTCCGTAGGGCTGTAATGCACAAGTGTTTAATTTAGGACCATAGAAACAGTGGCCCAAGGTCAGAAAGAAGTCTATAAAACTTTGGATGTGGCTCCCAATGTCCCTCTCGAGTTAATAATACAGCTAATCCTCATTTAATTACCATTTATTCAGCGACCATTCCAATTTATGACAGTGCTGAACAAATGGAAGTTACAACCGGTCCTCATAATTACAGCTGGTGCAGCATCTTTGCATCTACATGACTGTGATTTGAGACTTGTCCTGCAGATTCCCACAAGGCAAAGCAACAGGGCAGCAGACAGAAAGTCACAATTCATGGTCAAGTGAGGTCCTCACGGTCCTCGCTTAACGATGGTAACCAGCACTGCCAGAACTTCTGTCACTAAGTGATGCAATCATATGATTTTTTTTTTGTTTGACTTATGATTGTATTGCTCCCCAACAGAGTTTCCAGTCCCAATTACCGTTGTTAAGCAAGAACTCTCTGAAATAATAATTAAATGTGTATGCCACTAGGCTTCCAGTGACAAGTTGTGGCCATCTTGTGTCTTAACGTGACACAAAACAAAGCCTACAGAAAAAAAGAACAAACTATCTAGAGATAATCCAGAACTACTATTAGATCGCAGTCATGGCCAAGCGCACAGTGTCTTGGATTGCCACAAACTATAAGACTTGCACTTTCTAAGGGTTCAGAAACATGAACTGGGTTTCCAGTGGCTTTTTTGAGCATAAAAGGAATCTTACTGAGCCGCGGTCATGCAGTGGTTAGAATGCAGTACTGCAGGCTACTTCCGCTGATCACCGGCTGCCAGCAGTTTGGCAGATCGAATCTCACCAGGCTCAAGGTTGACTCAGCCTTCCATCCTTCCGAGGTGGGTAAAAGGAGGACCCAGATTATTGGGGGCAATAGGCTGACTCTGTAAACCGCTTAGAGAGGGCGGTAAAAGCACTGTGAAGCAGTATATAAGTCTAAGTGCTAAGTGCTGTGCTAAGTGCTCACTGCAAACTGTGATAGCCCCACAGATAGAAATGAGGAAATCAACTCTGGGAAGGTAAAATCACAATTGTGCTGTATCTCCTTCTCTGTCTTATAATTATGAAGGTATGAAATACTTCCAAACCATATCTCATAGTAAAGGTTTTCCCTGTCCAGTCATGCCTGACTCTAGGGGGCAGTATTTATCTCCTTTTCCTAGCCAAGGGAACAAGCACTGTTCCAAGATGTATCCATGATCATGTGGCCAGCATGACTATTCGCCAAGATGGAACACTGTTACTTTCCCACCATAGTGGTACCTATCTACTTGCCTTTGCATGTTTTCAAATTGCTAGGTGGGGCAGGAACTGGGGCAAGAATGGGCATTCACCCTGTCATGTGGTGCTTGGGTCTCAAACAGCCGACCTTCCAATCAACTAGCCCAGCATCTTAACCATTAGGTCATCCCTATCTCATAGTTCTGAACTTAACTATGTTTCAGCTCCTTTTGCTTAGGTAACGGTTCTTGCATATCTCCTCCAGAGTATCTTCCTTAGTCTCTACACCCTGCCAGATAAGAGTTTAAAAAAAGGAAGTGGCAGCAAATAGGTTTGGAGAAGATCATGTTGTGCTCCTAGGCATAAGAAGAGATACCCTACCTATTGACCCTATTACAGCAGAAGCAGGAAGGAGAGGGGCTTTCACTCCGAATAATGGGAACAAGTTTTGCCCTGCTGGCTACTGCTGTTCTGACCTAGGTTTCCTTAAAAAGCACAAGCAGAGTCTTGGTCCCGGCAAAACCCCTTTTATTTACACGACTGTGAATTCCTTTCATTCACAGTCAGCAAGGCTTGCCCAAACAGTCTTTCAGAGGAATGTTTATCAACACAAACCTTATCTTGCTTGGAAAGCTGCCAGATAACTAGTTTCCAAATGCAGAGTAAGGCAAAACTTGGCACAGAGTCTCTTAGAGTCACGAACAGAACTTTCCACTCTTGAAACGACCAACTGACCAAACAAATGGTTTCCTGCAAAAGCCCACTCCCCATTCGCTCCTCTTTTGTTTCCTATGGGAGGGGCCAATCACCTCCAAGGTGTGGCATTACACCGACCTCAACCCTGCTTTCTTAGTTGTTGTCTTTTGGAAATTCTGTGCATGCGCACATTGGGAACAGACTCCAGCAGTTCCTCTACCTCACTGCTGTCTAGCTCCCTCTCTGCCTCTGACGCAGAGTCCTTGTCCGCGCTTTTCCCAGCCCCCAGGACTGGCCCATGTTCCTCTGCAACCTCCTCACTGTCCGACTCTGCTGCCAGCTCCGCTGGCTGCCAGTGGGCCACAACAGTTGCTCTGGTATCTGCCATTGATGCCATGGCTGCGCAGGTGAGGCAGGGAGGGGAAGTCTAAGGTATGTTCAAGTGCCCCACTTGCAGGCATGTTCATTGCACTGAAAACAACAATGCAGGTGCCAGCAGAATTTTATCTAATGTAGTATCCTCTGGATGCATACTGTATAACCTTTGTTCCTGGTGCTTTACTGTTCTCTGCTTTTCATGTGGAGCTGGGTGACCTCTAAATTGAATGACCGAATGAACGATGCAGTGGGGAAAAAAAAAACCTTTAAGAAAACAGTTCAGGACTAACCTTAATCTTCCATCCATTTTAGCCACAGATCCTGGAGCCAAGCTGTGAATATATATACCTGGAAGGCTGTTCTCCAAGGTGAGGCAACAAGCACCAATGCCCAAGCCAACCCCAGGTTCTGTGATGAAATAAAAACAAAGTTGAGAATAGTTTAACTTATTATTCACTGTAACAGCCACAAGGCATAAAAGTACTTCTTAAGAATTGTTCTTTGTAGGAACCCTTCTATCCTGGCCACTTTTTACAGAGGCACGATTGAGAGCATTTTAACAAACTGCATCACTGTTTGGTTTGGTGGTAGCAGTGCCTCAGATAGAAAGTCCATACAGAGAGTGGTAAGGACAGCCGAGAAGATTATAGGAAGCTTGCTTCCTGTTATTCAGGGTACTGCTTATAAGCGCTATGTACTTAGAGCTCACAGCATTGTTAGAGACCCCAGACACCCACTTCACAGTCTGTTACTGTTGCTCCCCTCTGGGAGGAGGTTTCAAACTATTTCTAGCAGGACTTCCAGATTCTGTAACAGCTTTGTTCCCTATGCCATCCATCTGGTAAACTCGCAAGATTCATTTCTCTTGCCATGTACATGTATACATCCAAACTAGACTGTGTTGTTTCTCCGTGTCATATATGTGAGTACATGCATAATTTTGTATTTGTTTGTTTGTTTGTTTATCTCATCATGTTTATGTTTACATTAGAGGTGGAGACCCTTTGAGAGCTGTATGCAACATAATTTCATTTTAATGTATGCCGATTAGTGTACAAAGTGACAATAAATCCTGTTCTGTTCTGTTCTGTTCTATATTCTATTGTTCCATAGATCTTGAAATGTCTACTAAGAGCCTTTGAACCAGATCCTAGTCACCCACTGCAATGAGTCAGGGTGGATCAGGGGAAGTTTCCTCCTTCTACTAAGGATTTTAAGGCTGACTTTAAAGCAGAGGTGGAAAACTATGGCCCCTTTATGACTTGTGGACTTCAACTCCCAGAATTCCTGAGCCAGCCATGCTTTAAAGCAATGAGAAGACTGTGCTCCTCTCAGTTGCTGTATTTTCTTCATTTGGCTTCGATTCTTCCCCCTCATCTCTCAGATCAAGACATCTTGATGAAAGCTGATAGGAAGTGAAACAAAACACAAGAAACATTTGATTCTGTGGTGATTCTTGACATCTCTCCACTCCCAAAGTGCTTACGCCCAAGAGCCAAATGTAATAAAAGAAGCCATTACAAACACTTTCCTTGTTTATTCCCTATATGAAATATACCCTTCTTATTCCTCCTTATTCATCATGATGAAATATCTTTCCAAGGTCTAACTGTAAATTCTCCCAGTGAAAATTCTTTGCAAAAGCTGGCAAGGATTATGTATTATAAATTTAAAACAGATTTAACCTGATTTTCTACTCAACGCTTGTTTATTAATCTGATGTTTTTAATCCGCTGTTTTTAATCAGAGCACCTTTCCCTCCACAAGTCACAACATTAGTAAAAAATATAACATTTCGGCTAATGCCATTTGAAAGACTTGAAAGGACAAAGGAGCCCATGGAAAGGACTCACGGTGGGGGGCCGGGGGTGGTGGCAGAGAAGAAGGGAACAGGTTGAAAATCAATTATAAGATAGGAAACTCCAAGCAAGATAAATACCATAAAATTCTTCTAAATCTGAGAAGGATATGGAAGCAATTCTGAAATGATTTTAAGAAACAGGCACCTCATTTTAGCGGAGGCAGGCACTTTTCTTGCCTCTCTCAGTTACCCCATCATGATCCATTTGAAATTATTTGTCATAAAAATGAATATAAGTAGTCCTCGTCTTATGACTGCAATGGAGCCCAAAATTTCTGTCGCTGAGACAATTGTAAAATAAGTTTTGTCCCATTTTACAATCTTTCCTGCCACAATTGTTAAGCGAATCCCTGCATATGTTAAGTTAGTAACGTGGTTGTTAAGTAAACCTGGCTTCCCCATTGATTTTGCTTGCAAAGAAGGTCGCAAAAGGGGATCACACATGACCCTGGGACACGGCTTCCGTCATAAGTATGAGTCAGTTGCCAAATGTCTGAATTTTGATCACATGACTGTGGGGATGCTGCAATAGTCATAAGTGTGAAAAACAGTCATAAGGCGCTTTTTTTCAGTGCCGTTGTAACCTCAACAGTCGCTAAACAAACTGTTCTAAATCATGGACTACTTGTAGATTGTTGGCCTTTTCAGTTTCCAGGGATGGAAGAAGGTTGAAATCAGGATTTTCTAGCGAATATAAATCGCGCGGCACAGCTGATCATCGGAAATACCAGCCAGTAGCTTTTTTTTACTACCGGTTCACCGAACCGGATCACTACCGGTTCACCCGAACTGGTGCGAACCAGTAGGATTTCACCACTGGTTGAAATTCAGTGATCCAAGAAAGTGGCTGTAAGAAGATAGTTTTCCTGTCCTGTCCTTCCCCCTCTCTGTTACATCTCTGGTGCTTTTTATTCATCAAAATCTTTGAACGTATATGTCACCTATTTCCCTAACGATTCCACATTTACAAGGAGAAATTTAAAAAAAAACCACCCAGTTCAATAAAAACCATCAAAAACCCTGAGGAAATAAACATGGCTTCAGCCATGGTTCATCTTTTCTGGGCTATTCTGGGAAGTCAAAATAAAAATTCCCAGGAGAGGCAAACCACTCCTGGAACTTTACCAGGAAAACTCAAGGACATCTGTGCCTTTTTAAATAAATATGCTCTTAGACTCCTTTTCAACTTTAATGATGGGGAGGATGGTTTCAACCTCAGTGGCAATTTATTCCATGACTAGATAAGTTTCTAAAAAAACTTGGACATGGTAAATCCTTGGATTAGAGCCATCAAGAAAACCTAGCGAATTTTTTTAAAAAAAAACACATTCTGCAAAAAGCAAAGACAAGCCATATTCATAACATAACATGCCAAGAAAACTGTATGGCTATGTCCATAAAAACACAAAGCATCAAGTTCAACTTGAAGGAGACTTTACATATTTAGGGCCAGGAAGTAACAATGTCCGGGTGGGTGGGCGGAGCTTCATGCTGCCTGATTCGCCAAACCATGCACTGCCACTGCTACTGTTTCACCCGAACTGGTGCAAACCTATAGCATTTTACCCCTGTTTCCACCTCAGGAATGACACCACAGGTCTTGTAAAACAGTAGCCCCCAACCTTTGGGGCACCTGGGACCGGTTCTGTGGAGAAAGGTTTTTCCGCGGACAGGAGGGGCCGTGGTTTTGCATACAATCTGCATCCCGTGGATGGGGCTTCGTGGCCCAGTTGCTGACAAGTTGCTGACCAGTGCTGGTCCACGGACTGGGGGGGTGGGGGGGTTGGGGACCCCTGTTGTAAAGGATCTTGAGCGCCAAACATAACTCCCTACCAAATAAATTGACTACCACAATTCGTCTTGAGGGTCACAAAGATTTCTTGAATTGGCTTCTATCCTACCCAACAGGAAGAAGTCCCATGTGTTTCATTTCAGTGTGGTTAGACAAATACTTCCAGTGGTGTGTTAAATCTACTCATGCAGAGTTCTTGGTATATTATCAGCTTCTATGTGACTATTTTAATATTTTGCATGGGGCAGCCAGAAGACAGCACGTGATTATTATTATTATTTTTTTACATATAATGTTGGAAGTTTCCCACCCACAAATTTCATTGGAATTTCAACAAAACCAATTTGCTTTTATAGCGTAGTTTCCATTACCTGCTCCCAAAGCATTTCTTCCCCATTTCGGTTCCTTCTAGACACGCCAGACAAAAAAAATTGATCACTAACCATCCCAGCTCAGATTTACAAGGAAAGGAGTCCAATAACTTATTAAAATCTTATTATTGTTTCTATTCCTCTCCCCTCTTCTAAAATCTTCCTTAGGAGATTTTCTCTGCCTTGCCAAAGCACTTTGGGCCATGGTTATTTTCACCAGAGTAAAAACAGTCGCATTTTCTCAAACCTTTATTTAGAGTGACTTCCATGACAATTCTGTCCTTTGGTCCAGGTCCTTTACGACTAGAAGAGGAAGTATCTCCGTCTTCACCACTGGGAAATGAGGCTCCTCCACTGGTATTGGAGCTGGGAGAACTGGACCGGCTCAGCAATATGGGAGTTGGGCACGGCGTAAGGCTTGGGCTGCGAAGTCTGGTTCGCACTGTGAGAGTCACCACACCTTTCTTCAGTTGCTAAAGAAGTAACAGAGTTGTTAGCTTTATAAGTTTAGTTTAATTTAGTTTTAGTTTTATTTGATTTGTATACCGCCCTACTCCCGAAAGACTCAGGGCGGTGAACAGCCACAAGATAAAAAACATAAATACAAAATTTAAAACTGAATAAAATCGAATTAAACAATTTGGCCGAAGACAGATTTAAAACACCCCAATAAATTAAAAATGAATTAAAATTTACGTTTTAAAAAGGGGGGAAAGGGAAACAGTTAGGCCAGGCCAGCCTGATGGAATAAAAAGGTCTTGAGAGCGCGGCGGAAGGTGCGTAGATCCGGGATCCTCTGTATCTCCGGGGGGAGCTCATTCCAGATAGTAGGTGCCCCCACAGAGAAGGCTCTCCCCCTGGGGAGAGTAAGTATCGCCACTTTTCCTTTGTCTCAAAAACTAAGGCATGAATTACACATCCAGAACTTGGAATATGTCTGGAATCATTAATTAGAACATCTGCTCTTGCTCTTGGTGGGAATTGATCACTACAGCGGATCATTCTGTACAATTTGATTTAGAGGTTCTGTTGCCTATGAGTGTACAGGAAGTCCTCGACTCATGACTACAGTTGAGCCCAAAATTTTTCTTGCTAACATTTATTAAGCGAATTTTGTCTCATTCCACGACCTTTTGTGCCACAGCTGTTAAGTGAATCACTGCAATTGTTAAGCTAGTAACATGGTTGTTAAAGGAATCTGGCTTCCCCATTGGCTTTGCTTGTCAGAAGGTCGCAAAAGGTGATCATGTGACCCTGGGACACTGCAACCGTCCTAAATATGAGTCCATTGCCAATCATCTGAATTTTGATCATGTGACTATGGGGATACTGCAATGGTTCTAAGTGTGAAAAACAATCATAAGTCATTTTTTTTTGGTGCCATTGTAATTTTGAATGGTCAGTAAATGAACTGTTGTAAGTCGAGGACTACCGGTACTATCTTATGAACATATTCCTTTACCTAAGCCCATGATGGCGAACTTGTGGCACACGTGCCACAGGTGGCACACAGAGCCCTCTCTGCGGGCACACCAGCCGTCACCTCTGCCCAGCTTCACTGCGCATGTGTGCATGCCTCCCGCAGGCCAGCTGGTCTTTGGGTCTCTGTTGTGCATGCATGGGGGGCGGGGGGGGGGGCTTCCCCGATCCCCGCAGCTTCCCCCCCCCCCCAGCGTGTCCCTACCTTTCTACTCCATTTCTGCCACCCGGACCAATCTGGAAGCCAAAATGGGGCGTGGGGGTGCCACGCAAGGCCCCCTGCACCCCGTTTTGGGCCTGGAAAGCCTCGTGCACCAACCTGGAAGCCAAAATGGGGCGTGGGGGGGGCGTATGCACAGAGGGCCAGGGCACATGCACGGGGGTGAGCATGTATGCGTGGGGGCGGGGTGCATGTGCGGGGTGCATGTGTGGGGTGCATGTTCCGCCTCCGCAGGGAGGCGGAACCGGTAAGATGGTACCGCCCCAGGCGCCTGATGGAACCTGATAGGTTCCAGATGGAGCTTGGGCCAATCCCGGAGGTTCTGGCTCACGCCTCATCTGGGGACCTAGTGGCCGCCTGGGATAGGGCGGCTGCTGGAGCCCTGGATCGAGTCGTGCCTTTGCGGCCTCTGACCCGGCGCCGATCTCGCCTGGCTCCTTGGTTCACCGAGGAGCTGAGGGAGATGAAGCGCCGGAAAAGACGCCTAGAGAGCTGTTGGAGGGCTAGTCTTTCTGAATCTGACCGAACACTGGTAAGATCTTATATTAGGAGTTACCTAGTGGCGATAAAAGCAGCAAAATGTACTCATTTTACTGCTCTTATTGCGTCATCAGATAATCGCCCGGCCACCCTGTTTAGGGTGACCCGCTCCCTGCTCCACCAGGAAGCGCGGGAGGACCCCTTGGAGGGAAGAGCCGAGGATTTTGTTCAGTATCTGTATGACAAAATCACTCAGATTCGGGCAGGTCTGGACTCTGACGGGATAGATCCAGCGAGGGTGACGGAGACAGGTCTTGAGACTGTTATCTGGGATGAGTTTGATCCTGTGACCCCAGATGACGTGGACAGGATTCTGGGTAGATTGAACGCGACCACATGTTTGTTGGACCCGTGTCCCTCCTGGTTAGTGCTGGCTTCCCGGGAGGTGACGCGAGGCTGGCTCCAGGGGATTATAAATGCTTCGTTGGGTGAAGGTGTCTTTCCCACCGCCTTGAAAGAGGCGGTGGTGAGGCCTCTCCTCAAGAAGCCTTCCCTGGACCCGGCAGTATTGGCTAATTATCGTCCAGTCTCCAACCTTTGCTTCGTTGCGAAGGTTGTTGAGAGTGTGGTTGCGCGACAGCTACCCCAGTACCTGGATGAAGCGTCGTATCTAGATCCGTTCCAGTCGGGCTTCAGGCCTGGGTACAGCACGGAAACGGCATTGGTCGCGTTGGTTGATGATCTCTGGAGGGCTCGGGACAGGGGTTGTTCCTCTGTCCTGGTCCTGTTAGACCTCTCAGCGGCTTTTGATACCATCGACCATGGTATCATGCTGCACCGGCTGGAAGGGTTGGGGGTGGGAGGCACTGTTTTACGGTGGTTCTCCTCCTTTCTCTCTGACCGGTCGCAGTCTGTGTTGACAGGGGGGCAGAGATCGACCCCGAGGCCCCTTATATGTGGGGTGCCGCAGGGATCGGTTCTCTCGCCCCTTCTGTTCAACATTTATGTAAAGCCGCTGGGCGAGATCATCCGTGGTTTCGGGGTGAAGTACCATCTGTACGCTGATGACACCCAGCTGTACATCTCCACCCCGGACCACCCCAACGATGCCCTTGAAGTGATGTCCCAGTGCCTGGAGGCCGTGCGGATCTGGATGGGGAGAAACGGGCTCAGGCTCAACCCATCCAAGACCGAGTGGCTGTGGTTTCCGACGTCCCGATATAGTCAGCTGGCGCCATCGCTGGCTATTGGGGGCGAATCATTGGCCCCCACGGAAAGGGTTCGTAACTTGGGCGTCCTCCTGGACTCACGGCTGTCTTTAGAAGAGCACTTGACGGCCGTGACCGGGAGGATTTTTCATCAGGTTCGCCTGATTCGCCAGTTGCGTCCCTTTCTAGATCGGGACTCGTTACGCACAGTCACTCATGCCCTCGTCACCTCTCGTCTGGACTATTGTAATGCTCTCTACATGGGGCTCCCCTTGAGGTGCACCCGGAGGCTCCAACTGGCGCAGAGTGCGGCCGCGCGGGTGGTTATGGGAGCAACATGGAGCTCCCATGTAACACCTCTCCTGCGCGAGCTGCACTGGCTCCCGGTGGTCTTCCGGGTGCGCTTCAAGGTTCTGGTTACCACCTTTAAAGCGCTCCATGGCTTGGGACCTGGTTACTTACGGGACCGCCTACTACCATCAACAGCCTCCCACCGACCAGTACGCTCCCACAGAGAGGGGCTCCTCCAGGTGCCGTCGGCCAAACAATGTCGGCTGTCGGCCCCTAGGGGGAGAGCCTTCTCTGTGGGGGCACCGACGATCTGGAATGAGCTCCCCCCAGAGATACGGAGGATTCCGGATCTGCGCACCTTCCGCCGCGAGTTGAAGACGCTTTTGTTTCATCAAGCTGGCCTCGCCTAAATCTTCTCCCTTTTAAGTGTAAATTCTAAGTTTTTAATGGATTTTAAAATATGGGTATTTTAAATTGGGTATTAATTCAGCCAAATTTATTTAATTCATTTTATTCGATTTTAAATTTTGTATATCTATGTGTTTTATTTCATGGCTGTGCACCGCCCTGAGTCCTTCGGGAGTAGGGCGGTATAGAAATTCAATAAATAAATAAATAAATAATAATGTGTGGAGGGTGCTCGCATTGCATTTGGGGGGTGTGGATTTGCACGCTTTGGGCACTCGGCACCAAAAAGGTTACCCATCACTGACCTAAGCAATATTTTTTTACCAACCTTGCCTAAAATACCTATTATAGCTATAGATGCCAATGCAAATTATTTTCCTTTGTATTGACATTGCTTTGTCCAGGACCCATGAAAACCAACTCCAAAAACAGATGCTGGAACAAATAATCTTTTTGAACCCATCTTTCCCCATCGCCATGTGGCAATTTGTTTTTAAGACAAAACAAATATAGAAAATAAAAAAGCTTTCCCCACCTGGATATACCATCCAGATGTGTTGTACCATAACTTCTATTTTTTCCCAGACAACAAGATCAGGCTGGTTCTGAACTTTTGAGAGTTTTGAAGGACATCAATCTACCTACTTTGAATGTTTGAATTGCCTCCTGATGAGTCAGCCCTTGTAATGATTCCCCGTTAACTTCCAGAAGTTCGTCTCCTGGAAATCCAAAGCAAAATGCGTTATCAGCATTTAGATAAGATGAAGAAATGCTGTTTTTAGAAATAAAAGGCATTCTAGTTCTTCCCATATTATTAAATTACAAGATATTTGATCTCTTTCTATGCTTGGAGAAATTACATTTTAAAAAGTGACACGTTACTTTTGACCTGGAATTTTCATTAGACTGTACAAATTTGGAAGCATTCTGTAGTTTAGTTATCTTGTGCATTTGGAATTTTGGAAGTCTAACAAGGAACCAAAAAAAAAAAGCTTAGCAGTCATTCTTATCCATTAATGGTAGCAAAAAGAGAATTTGCAGGGATGAATAATGGGCCAACAATACATGGGCCATAAGCAGAACAGCTGAACTTTGTTGGATGAAATCTCATCCAATTTCAGGATTCAGAATGGTTTATGGGTAGGAATGGAAGGCTGGATTACGGTTTCCACCCTTCTGGATCTTGGGTGAAGAACTGTTTGTCACCAAATGTGGTATAGCACAAACTATGGCTTCTAGATATGGTTTGTTACAAGATAATTACATTACACTGCATTACACAAACTGTGGAAAGACCTGTCCCCCTACTCTCCCTTGGCAAGAAAAAAATTCTGGTTTATATTGTGTAAAAATAGCAATATTTCAGATGTCTCTCCTTGGAAACATCTGAAATATCGGAAGGAAGTATCTAGAAGGAATAAAACCATGGCTCCAAAGAGGACAGTTTATATTAAACCTTTTCTTTTGCTCTGGGCCACGAAGGAGTAGCACAGGGGTGGGCTGTTGGGGGTTCGGGAGAACCTCTAGCTAAGATATTGTGCAGTTCAGAGAACCCCGAAATCCCACTGCTGGCTGGCCCCACCCACCCCTCCCCTTCCGTTCCAGGAGTCCCCACACAGCCTGTTTTGGATGCAGGTAAATGCAGGGTGTGCGCGGAGGCTCGGGGAGGGTGAAAAACGGGCCTACCAGAAATTATTGAAGGCTGGAAACAGGCCCGTTTTCAGCCTCCAGAGAGCCTCTGGAGCCTGAGGAAGCCATTTTCGCCCTCCCAGAAGCTCGAGAAATGCCTTTGAAGCCTGGGGAGGGCAAAAACATCCCCCCCCCGCCGCTGTGGTGCAGGAGGCCAACTAGGTCAGGCCCACCATGGCCACGCCCACCCAGCAACTGGGCAGAGAGCCCCTTGGTAAAATTTTGGAGTAGCACCTTGAAAACCAGATTCTGTTAACTCACTATTCAGCTTGGTCATGAGTTTCCTTTCTCCCACTTACATGTTTGGCAGGAGGAACAGGTAGGATAGGTAAATCTGGGCTTGGAAAATGGTTAATTTAAACAAGTTGTTAGGCTAACAGAAATCTGGTTTTTTTTTGCAAACATACCTTCTTTTAACCTGCCATCAGCTGCTGCAGCCCCATTTGGAAAAATTGTCTTGACAAAAATGCCCATACGACCCCGAGCAGAATCTTGTCCCCCTACAATGCTGAATCCAAGACCCTGAAGCATAGGTACAAATTAAGGCAGAATAAATACCTCCGTAGACAAATACCCCATAACTTCCCATATCACAAACAACAGGCATCTGATCGAGCAAACAAAACTGATTTCTTCATCTTTGTTCTTAAACAGTAAGAAAAAAAAAAGAAGTTTTAAAAGGAAGGGAGAATATACTATCTCAGCACAATGCTAGGTTTCAGAAGTAGCAGAAATGTCTTCATGCTGTGTTTTCAATGACAGCCTGAAATACAGCTTTGGCAAAATATCTTACGATGTGGGCAGACTGCAAGAGGAAGGGACCTGAAATGAATAGGCAAATGCCCAATTAAAATTAGAGTTATGTGGGCAAACCTTGTTGAATTTGTTAAAATGCTGGCAATTAAGTTCTGAACTGAACTTCCTGACACTTCTTCAGAGGCAACCCAATTAGAACATTCCCAATAATCCAACAAGACAGCTTAACAGCGTTAATCACCTTGGCCAAATGATCCCTATCCAGGAATGGCCTGGCCAACAGCTGGCCATCCAGGAAAAAAAGTGATATAAGACATTTTGGGCTATTGAGGCTTTGTTTTATGTCTTCCGTTCAATCATGTCTGATTCTCAGAGACTGCCTAGACCAGTGATGGCTAACCCTTTTGCCATCGCATGCCAGGAGGGGGGGTTGGGGGGTCACGTGCACATGTGCCTACACTCATAATTCTATGCGCCCCACCCCTGCCCATGTGTATGCGACACCCCCGGTCCTGGCACACGATGGCCCGGTAGGCCCGTTTCTCACCTGGCTCCAGAGCCTCTCTATGAGTCTGGGGAGGACGAAAATAGCCTCCCCCCCCCCTGGAGGCCAGAAACGGCCCATTTCCCAACTTCTGGTTGGACAGGAAGTGACGTTTTTTGCTATCCCCAGCCTCCAGAGACTTCTAGAGAGCCGAAGCTGAGCTCGAGTGCCCACTGATATGGTCATAGGTTCATGCCATACAAGTGCCATAGGTTCGCCATCACAGGCCTAGACAAATTCCTGAACGTTTCTTGGCAAGGTTTTTTTTTTCCAGAATCATTGGCCATCGCCTTCTTTCTAGGCAATGTCTAGAACTCATGGTCTCCTACTTTCTAGCCTGATGCTTAAACCACTAACCAAAGCAGCTCTCATCGCTGATTAATTTCTAATCGCAAAGAGCGGGCTCTTCAGAGTAAAATAATCCTAAATTGGATATAGTATTTATAAAGACCCCAAACCAATGCTACCGGTTCACACGAACCGGTAGCGGCGTGAGCGGGTGGTTTGGTGAACCAGTAGTGGCGGCAGTGCGAGGCTCCGCCCATCCGCCTGGACGTCGTTACTTCCTGGTTTTAACCAGGAAGTAACCTGTTTTTGACCCTCTGCACATGGGCAGAAGGCTTTGCACATGCACAGAGGATCTAAAATCGCACATGACGCGTGCACGCATTTCCGAACCAGTAGGGAAGGTAAGTAGATTTCACCCCTGCCCCAAACCTTTTACCATCAATGAACCCATATTTTCAAGAGGTGTGGACATCATTTTTCCCCCCTATACTGTACAACTATTATGTGCATCTAAATTCTGGAATAGCATCTATTTTGCTGAAATAGATTTTGGAACAGCCCTCTAACTTGGGTCCTCAAAAGAAGAGTTTTTGGCTTAGATTCCTAGACTTCCTAGACAGACACACAAATATTCAAGTCTTTTTTTATTTTATTCAACTTTATTCTTACCTTGCCCTGCCCCTTCATCAGAACAATGTTGGAAATAATAGATGGCTGCGTCAGTCGCCAGGGATACTCAACCTGAGCTGCACTCAACGAACGAGTGGATTTCTTAACAATGTGGTATTCCTTCAGAAATAAAACAATCACAATATTTGCAAAAGAACCAGAATGATTCTGTCTCAGTTACACCGCAGGTTGTCTAACCTTGGTTTCTGGTTAGTAAATAATCATAAACATCACAGTTACATTTTTTTACATGTAAGTGCTTAAACACAGGTAGTCCTTAACTTACGACCACAATTGACCCCAAAATTTATGTTGCTAAGCGAGAAATTTGTTAAGTGAGTTTTGTCCCATTTAATGACATTTCTCGCCACCTTTGTTAAGTGAATCACTGCAGTTCTCAAACTAGCAACATGGTTGTTAAGTGAATGTGGTTTCCCCATGGACTTTGCTTGTCAGAAGGTCGCATAAGGGGATCACATAACTCTGGGACACTGCAACGGTCATAAATGTGAGTCAGTTGTCAAGCAACCTAATTGTAAATCACATGACCATGGGGATGCTGCAACGGTCATAAGTGTGAAAAATGGCCATAAGTCACTTTTTTCAGTGTCGTCATGACTTCAAATGGTCACTAAGTGAACTGTTGTAAATCAAGGACTATCTATACACACACACAAAAACACCAAAGAAAACTGGGTAGAAAATAAATCAAGATAAGTACCAGAGAGAACACAAGGAAGCATCTTCTAAAATTTTCTGCAATACATTATTTTTTTAATTCAAACTCAATAAATATCCTACCATATACAAATAATGCATCACAGTAAGCTTTGCTTGCATATGAATTACAAGTAGTCCTCAACTTAGAACCATTCATTTGGCAACTGTTCGAAGTTACAATAGCATTGAGAAACGACTTACGACCAGCCGTCCCAACATCCCCATGGTCACATGACTGAAATTCAGGGATTTGGCAACCGATATGTATTTACAATGGTTGCAATTTCCCAACGTCACATGACATCCATTTGAGGCTTCCCCAGCTGGCTTCCAACAAGCAACATCAATGGGGAAAGCGGGATTCATTTAATAACTGCAAGATTCAGTTAAGAACCGCAGTGATTCATTTAACAACCATGGCAAAAAAAAAAAAGGCTGTTAAATCAGATGCGACTTACTTAACAACCATGCTTGTTTAGCCACAGTTGCATTCCTAATGGTGACTGTAAATCAAGGACTACCTGTACAGCTTTTGCATTCTGGTTCATGATTGAGTTACATTTGTTTTAATCTTTGGTCCCTCCATCAATTACCAATAGTTAAAATGACGAATTATTTGGCTGTAATATCTCAAACGATGCCATATATTTGGGGTTTTTTTTCTCTTCCTCACCTGTCTGGTTCCTGTGTCCAAATGCTGCGGCAAGGAATGCTTTCTACCTCCCCGGGAATATTTCATTGGTATTTCATAATTCAGATCTCCATTTTCTACTGTCAACTCATCATCCTCTCCCACAGACTCTAAACGAGTTGCCGCCCCTAAAGAATAACCCAGAGATACAATTTATTATACATACATCAAAGCCTCTTTTAAGATTGTCAGTTCTAATGGAATTTAGAATGTCCATTGAGAAATGATGGATGGATGCATTTCTTAAAGCATCTAAACAACTGTAATAAATTTTATCTTTGCGTTTGTGTGTGCACATGCACGCATGTGGATATATGGGCAGGGGTAATTTATTAAAGAAATGACAGAAGACACTTTTTTATCAAAATGCTTATTTAATCACAAACAAACAGCGCTTTTTACTGATTTTTTAAAAAAAGACAGAATTCTTATTTTGTATCTTATTTTGTATGGTAAAAAGAAAAGAAAAAATAGTTTATGCTATCAAATCAAGTGCAGGTTCGTATTTTTTAAAACCCTCAAAGAATAGACAGTGAGAAACTTGGTGAATTACTTTCTCTCATGATTTCCATCCTGTGCACTTCAATCAGCACCAATAATCCAATTCTAAATCCCGTTGCCAACCGGAGGACAGTGTGAAGATCACAGCCTTCCTTAATCACAGTCCTAAAATTGTGGAGGACCCACTTTGAAGAGGTTCACCTGATACAGTCTTTGAGAGATGTCACTATTGATGGGTTTCTCTGTCCTCTCACAGAAGACCAGCCAGGAGGATTTTTTTTTTCCTGATGGCTCTTTTTAGACAGCTTCCATAATTATCTTTGTGTTTCATCTTTTTAAAGGCTTTGATCCTTCTCATTATCATTTTATTAAAATCTTACTTGAGATACATGCTCTAACTGTTAAAGATCACAAATCCAGAGACCATAAATACCTCAAATCACTAAAGCAGATGGAAATACAGCTCAGCGAGGAACATATTAGTAACAAGGAAAAATGTAAGTCTTTTGGTCCAGGACTACTTTTAACTTTAAAAAATCTAATTTCATAAGATAAATGTAGAGCAGTGGTCTCCCACTTTTCTGGCTTGGCATATTAGTGGAGAAGGGAAAAAGAGAATGGTTTTGTGCACATGCATGCCGCTTTCACAAATACAGCTTCGTGTATGTGCGTGCATACATGCTCACACATCACTTCCGTGCCCAGGTTTCAAATGGGCTACGGCCCAACAGCAGGCCATGGACTGGGGGTTTGGAGACCTCTGGTACAGAGGAACTTGCTGTTGTATTGGAAATAAAATGATACACCTTTCTAGCTAAGTATGATTTAGCTCTAAGTGCCACCCAGAGAGGTGGTATTCAGCCAGTTCGCACCAATTCGAGCGAACCAGTTGTTAACTTTTTGCCCAGTTCAGAGAACCAGCTAATCCCACCCCTGGCTGGCCCCGCCCACTCCCAGGAGTCATCCCCCCCACGCACCCCATTTTGGCTTCCAGGTTGGTGGAGGCCTTCCAGGCCCAAAACAGGGCATGGGGGGGGGTGTCATGCACCCCGCCCCGTGCCGCATTATGGCTTCCAGATGGTGCAGGCCTTCCAGGCCCAAAATGGGGCACAGGGGCACCGTGCGCCCCCCCGCACCCCATTTTGGCTTCCAGGGTGGTGCAGGAGGCCTTCCAGGCCCAAAACCCCGGCTATAGGGTGAGTTGGGAATGGGGCTATTTTGTACCCCTCCCTCAAATGTTCTTTAAAATACAGTGTTTCCCAGCATTCCTTTAGGAACCTCCAACATGCAAACCAGAGGTGGGTTTCAGCAGGTTCTGACCAGTTCTGGAGAACCGGTAGTGGAAATTTTGGGTAGTTCAGAGAACCGGTAGTAAAAATTAAGACTGGCCCCGCTCCCATCCATTCTCTGCCTCCCAAGTCCCAGCTGATCGGGAGGAAATGGGGATTTTGCAGTAACTTTCCCCTGGATTGGGGACAGAATGGAGATTTTACAGTATCCTTCCGTGCCCACGCCCACCAAGCCACACCCACCATGCCATGCCACGCCCACCAAGCCACACCCACAGAACCGGTAGTAAAAAAATTTGAAACCCACCATTGATGCAAACTGTGGTTACTCATTCTAAAATGAATCCTCTTTACCTGGAGCTTCAAAATTTGCTGATTGCTGGGGGTGGGGGGGAATGTGTAGCTAAAAGTCTGTTTACGTTTAGTGTACATCTGATTTTGGGGATATTTCTTGACAACCAAACAAAAGTGTATTTTCTCTGCAGTTCACACCCCTTGCTCACTGAATGTTACACATTTTGTAATTAACCCCTCCGCCCCGTTTTGACTGGCAGAGTGCTGCAGGAGGCTGAGTGCTGTCATGCCCCCTGGCCACGCCCACCCAGCCGGTCATTAGGGCAGAGAACCGGTTGTTAAATTAATTGAATCCCACCACTGGCCACACACTTTTAAGAACTCCAGCAGAAGTATTTCTCATGGATAATTTTTCTTTATTCTTCTTCTGAGCTATACTCTTTTCTCAAGGAGATACAGCACGCTGGCAAACCTAACTCAATAGTCTTCTAAATCAGGGGTCTCCAACCTTGGCAGCTTTAAACCTGGAGAACTTCAACCAGTGGTGGGATTCAGCCAATTTGCACCACTTCGGGAGAACCGGTTGTTAACTTTCTGAGCAGTTTGGCAAACTGGTTTTTGGAAGAAATCATTAGGGCAGAGAACCGGTTGTTAAATTACTTGAATCCCACCACTGACTTCAACTCCCAGAATTCCCCAGCCAGCTCTTCTCTCAGAATTCTGGGAGTTGAAGTCCTCCAGGCTTAAAGTTGCCAAGGTTGGAGAGCCCTGTTCTAAATCTTTCCATGTTTTTTCATCCAATAAAAAAGAGTAACTATACCTTGAGAACGGCTCCTGTACTTCAAAATACCACCTCCAAGAGTTGGACTCTGGCAGTTCTCTTTGGAGCTCTCTTCTTCTGTAGGATCTGAGGACCCGTCCATATCGGTCATGTGTGTCATCTGAAGAAGAAGGAGAAAGGGATATCTTTAAAAAGTCCAGCTAAATCTTCTAGGATGTGTCATCCTTAGCTAAATTATGTATTATCCCAAGGAAGCTATAAATGAGGATCTCAAGCAGAATTGTTGCAGCTTATTTGCTGCATTTGTAACCAGAAAAAACACAGCAGATTTTTCTCCTTGTCCTAGATTTTAGGAGACCGGAATCAACTGAAAGACACAGACGCTTCTGATTTTCTCAGATGGGAGAACTTCATAGGGAGAACATCAGTGCAAGGAAAGATCCATTTTTCTGAAATTTAGATTATTATATTACTACTGCATATCTTTCCTGTTTATTTTCTATTGGTCTGTTTTAACAAGGTGGTTTGGAATAGGATTTTTATTTCTTAGTTGCACACAGACATATTGATGCATATTTGTAAGCTGTTTTCAACATCGCAGATTAAAACTGAATAAATAAAATCAAGATAAATGGTGTCGAACCTGGCTCGTGTCTGGTCCTTAACATATTCCTGGTCTTCCATTCATTGCTAAACCTTGATTTCATTCCCACCTCAAGGACTTAATTTTCTTTCCACAACACACTACATGACACTTCTAGGAGATGGAGGCCAGGGGTATGGAGTTTGTTGTCGGTTCCAATAGCTTGCTGAAAGTATACTTTTTAATGTTCCTTTTATTCAATTTGCTAAAAGGATCCTAAGATGAAAAACGGATCCTTGTAATATAAAGTAAAAAGGTATAATTTCTATTTTTTCAGCGCGAAGAAAGAATTTTGCATTTCCTTTTAGAATAAATTGCTTTGTAGAAAACATCAAGTCTGGCATGAGAAGGTGATCTGCAGCACCAAATAATGGACAGATTACAGTTGAGCGCCTATGGCAACAAATATAATATAGTCTATATATTAGGAAGCATTTTTTTTTTCAGAGTAAAGAACCAAATCTTGGAATAGGGCACTAGAACTGGAGAAGGTAAATGTTTCCCCTCTCTCAAATAAATGCCAATTTTCTGATTGAAATCACTTCATTGCAGGAACAAGGCAAGTGTGATATGAAGGGTTATAGGTCAGTGGCAAAATACATCCCTTACATACAAGCAATTAGACTTTCCATTTCTGATATTTCTAGCTTTTGTGTGTGTGTGTGTTCCTTTGAATCACCTTCGACATCTACTTACTTGCAGTTTTTTGGGTTGTCTCTTTCTTAGGACTGAGGAAGAATGACTGGCCAAAGGTTACCCAGTTGGCTTTGTGCCTAAGGTGGCACTAGAACTCATGGTCTCCTAGTTTCTAGCCTAGAATCTTAACTATTACACCAAACTAGCATTTGGGGGCAAAGGAAGAAAACCTGATAAGAAGCTATATAGTGACCATAACTTAGTAATCTAAAGCTTCCTAATTTCAAAATACTTCAGCAAATGATTAACTTCCTAAGCAATTTCTGGGGGGGAAGGTAGAGGAGAAAAAAGGAATTTCAGAAAGAGAGAGAGAGAGAGAGAGAGAGAGACGGAAGGGAAGGGGGGGAAGAGAAGAGAAGAGAAGAGAAGAGAAGAGAAGAGAAGAGAAGAGAAGAGAAGAGAAGAGAAGAGAAGAGAACAAAAAAGTGAAGGGGTGATGAGTGGCCCCAGACATTTTGGACACTGGCCCCCCACCAGAAGTGGGCTTCAAAAATTTTAGCAAGTGGTTCTCTGCCAGGTTGAGTGCTGAGTGGATATGGCCATCGGCCTCCTGCACCAGGGCAGGGGTGGCATTTTTGCCCTCTCTGGACTCCAGTGGCTTTTTTCGAGCCTCCGGGAGGGTGAAAACGGCCTCCCCAGGTGCCGGAGGCCATCTGGAGGCTGGAAATGGGCCTGTTTCCAGCCTTCCCAAATTTCTGCCCTCCCTGAGCCTCCGTGCGCGCCCTGCACTTACCTGCATCCAAAAAGGACCATGTGGGGACTCCAGGGAGGGGAGGGGTGGGGTGGGGTGGGAGGGGGCCAGCCAGGAGTGGGATTTGGGGGTTCTCCGAACTGCACAGAATCATAGTTAGAGGTTCTCCCGAACCCCTGCGAACCCCCAGCAGTCCATCCCTGACCCCCACTGAACACCTGTTTTTTGCAACAGTAGGATCACCATATTTAAGGCTGCAAATTCCAGACAACCACTAAATGGTTAAATCTTTGGTACCATGTAATATTTGCCCAGATTTTGGCAGTCCAGATATGGAGAAATGCTTAGAAAGCTAATTTTGAAAGAAAAGACCATCAATCTACTTTGAAAACAATACAGTATGGACAGCACAGATGTGGAAAAACTCATTCAGCTCATCTTTAAGTGCCATTTGATTTAATATATACATCTTAATTCAATGCATAAACCGAAGCACAGTTGCTCTTTGAAATCAATATTTTCCTGATTTTGTTAATGCAATTTGCTAGTTTAAAAATACCACACATGGAAAGAACCTACCCATAAATGGGGAAAAGTTTTCGGAAATGTGTCAGGGAAAATTGGTGGGGAAAATGCATATATAAAGTACGCTTTTAAAAGGAATTCATATTAAGTTTTTAAAGATTTTAGAAGACCAAAATGATGCAAACCCTGGTTTGCCTTGGAGAAATGAGAAAGTAGGCCGAATCATAACTGATATATTCATTACTCTCTAACTGAACTAGAGGGACCAGAATAATATTAGAATTATTTGGGGGGGATTTAAAATAAGTGCCTATTTTTCCCACTGCCAGACAAGAACATACAAGTAGTCCTTGACTTACAACAGTTCATTTAGTGACAGTTCGAAGTTACAATGGCACAAGTGGTGGGATTCAGCTGGTTCGAGAAAACCAGTAGTTAAATTGATGGGTGGCCCCACCCCTTCCAGGAGTCCCCACGCGCCCCATTTTGGCTCCCAGGTAAGCGCAGGGAGGCTTCCTAGGCCCAAAATGGGGCGCAGGGGGTACGGCGCGTCCCCTCCCCTGGCCTCTTTTTTGCTCCCAGGTGGGTGCAGGAGGCCGAGTGCTGTCTGTCACACCCCCTGGCCACAACCACTATGGCCCACCCAGCCGGTCATTAGGGCATAGAACCAGTGGTTAAATTATTTGAATCCCACCACTGAGCGGCACTGAAAAAAAGAGAATCATGACCATTTTTCTCACAACTGTTGCAACATCCCCATGGTCACGTGACCAAAATTCAGATGCTTGGCAACTGACTCATATTTATGACGGTTGCAGTGTTACAGAATCATGTGATCACCTTTTGCCACTTTCTGACAAGCAAAGGCAATAGGAAAGCCAGATTCTGGCTTAACAACCGGGTTACTAACATCCTGGCAAGCCTTCCTGACATCATTAGCCTCCTGCTATTGGCCAGGTAAGCAGCGGTTGAAACCGCCTAGCCGGGTGAGCCAATCAGCCCTGCAGAATTTTCAGGTTCCTATTCAGCTAAGACTTTTTTTCCTCCAGCTCTTTTTCTTGGAGATCGAAATACGCAAACAATTTAACGAGTTGAGTTTAAGTATTCCATCACCCAAATCAATGGGAGAGAACAAGTGTAACTTTCTATATGACAGGGTCTGTTTCGGATTAAATTTAACCCCCCCCCCCCCCCCCGGAGTTAGTTGACCATTAACCCTTTCTGGCATTCCCATGCCACGCTAATCCTCAACTGACCCAGTTAAGTAGGTTGTGGGAACACAGCCAGTTAGTAGCTCTGGATGTAAAGGCTACTTATGTAGCGTTTGTGTCTCAAACCAAACTTTCTTTGTGTCTGTTTATTTTATTTTTTTTAAAGACCCTAGAAAGTCAACTCATAGATGTCTTAAAATATATTCAGAAACTTATTCTTATAGGGGAAAACAATGCAAGCTCATCATAATTGAATTGAAATGTTTTAATTATGGGCCAAATTATTTAATTATTTTAAATCTATTTTAACTTTTGTATATAAAGTGTTTTACTGGGCTGTTCACCGCCCTGAGTCCGAAAGGAGAGGGGCGGTATAGAAATTTGAAAAATAAATAAATAAATAAATAAATAAATAAATAAATAAATAAATAAATAAATAAATAAATAAGAGTTAGGGCGAGATTTGCTGACAAAATTATATTTTCGATGGTCTGGTGTGTAACTTAAACATGCATATTAATAATAGTGGTTTAACAAAAGACACATAATTATATTATAACCGTTTAACTGGCGCACCTATTACTTGCTGATTTCAGAGCGCTATAAAGGGGGGGGGGAGAAATGCATACAAAGAACCGAACAGAGTTTTGCCAGGAGAAAAATAACAACAAAGACTCAAAGAGAAAGCATTCTTGATTTCCCCACTCGTGCCAAAAATGTACAGTGTGTTGTATACACTGCAGCTTTTTTACTTCCCAAAAACCCCAGATATCATTCTGTTCTGAAAATAAACAGAAATCCTACCCATTAAGCGTCTACGAGTTTCTCATGGGCCCCGATTTGTAATCTTTGGCTGCCACAGTCCACTGAAAATGCATGGTTTTTTTTTTTTTTTTTTTTTTGCCTGGCTGCCACAGTCCCCTGAAAATTTTTGTTTTTTTTTTTTTTTTTTTTTTTTTGCCTAGCCATCAGTGACCAAAGCCTTTTCACAAATTGCCCGTCTGCCAAGACAGTAACCGTGCCATAGGAGGTAACTGATTCTCCAGGAAATTATGCTTGTTCAGTTCTGAATGCATATTGCTAATTAAAAACAGGATTTTAAAGAATTCAGAAAACCTGGCTGATTTTTCTCAAGAGGCAACTTTTCCAAGAACTTTTTTTTGTTGTTGTTCACAACAGGCAAGAAAGAAGCTCAAAAGGTTTAGCCTGGTACTCACAATAACTTCATATGTATCTCATCACACAACACATACACAAATGCAAACACATACACAAACGCACAAAGAGCACCCCCCCTCCCTACACACAGTTCACTGTCTCTGTGAGATTCAGAAGGCATTCACTATGGTAGCTGAATGTTACTCTGCATCTCTTCAGGATTTCTGTTACGTAAG